CTCAGAAACATTAATGGGTGGGTTTCAAATTGAAAATATGATTGATGATAAAAAGAATATATGATTGAGTATTGCATCTTTGCACAGTATTTTTACTTGACTAATTGATGCTACTATGTCACAATTTCAAAAATTATTTTTCTTACTCTGATAGTAGTTGGTAGCAAAAGAGGAATGATTAAATTTGTAAATATAAATGAAAAAGCTTGAACTTAATCTGTTTTACCTTTAGGAATACGTGTTTTGCATTTTGATTATAAAGATGGTAAAACACATATATGTGTGTGTAGTACATAGATATACAGAGTCTGTTTAATTTTTTGCCCTTTTGGCAAGAAATTGGGAGGTTCCTTATTTTAGTGTGTTGATATTATGAAAAGTTATACTAGGAAAAAGTTAGCTCTTCCAGTTCTGAAATTTTATTTCAAAGTTTCAACTTTTGTACAGGATTCATATTTTTCTCTTATGCACTTTATTAAATGAATCTTTGATACAGTTTTACATTACAGCAATATTTACATGGTTTATATTTCTAGTGAAATTCTTAAAATATAATTGGATTTTGGATAATTTAAATCAGATATTAAATTCAACTCAATCAGTAAAAATATAGTGCTAGTAATAGTTTTGTTGTGAATGAAAGTTTTTATTCTTCCTAAAATTTAAGTGTTTATTAGTCAACATACACTAATTTTTAAAGTTTATAATGCCATTGAGTTTGAAAAAAATTTTATTTTTTTTACTGTGTTTTCTTCTTTTTCTACTAACAATAGCTATGGTAAGACAGGACCTTGCTGGAACCTTCAGTAAGTTGGTCTTTTTCAAATTTACCATCATTCATCCATGCATGTCAGTTGTGGCATCTAATTTTAAATTGTATTTCCAGTAATTCCATACTGTCAGTCCTCTTGCTTATGCTGACATTACCTTAATTGACACTTTAGTGATTGTCTTCCCATTCCATGCTTACGTTACTCCATGTACATTTAAACCATATTTAAACTGAAGTGGCTTATTTATAAAATAAAGATTAATAGTACTGTTTTTTCAGTTTTATATTTAGAATTAGTTTGGTTTCCTCAGGGACTTTTTCAGACTTAATTTTGAGTCCTATGAATCACTGTTTTCATTGATATATGGCTTAAATATCAAAATTATTTTATAGGTCAGAATGCATATTAGAAATGGACAAATCTTAATAAATTCTGAAATAGGTTCTTGACAGTATTAACATTTTCTTACTAAAATTTTTATTAACATTTTCATTGAGTTCATGTAATAGACATGGTATTCAATTATTGAATATAATCTGTGTTTACTAAGGTAACCTGAGTTCGAGTTGGCTGCGTGCAAGGCAAATGCCGTACCCACTGTAGTATCACTCTAGCTCCAGCTACATTTTTTTGAAACACAATGAAGAAGGGCAAAATCTTTGTGATTTTTCTTTGATTGTATCACTTGACAAAGTAATTGCTGAAGCTTATATAATAATGTGTAATTATATATATTGTGTTGGAATGATAGCACAGTGAGTAGGGTGTTTGCCTTGCATACGGCTGACCCAGGTTCCATCCCTGGCACCTCATATGGTCCTCCAAGCTTGCCAGGAATGATAGCACATAAGGAATAAGCTCTAAGCACTGATGGATGTGGCCCAAAAACTTAAATTAAAAATTTAATTATATGTGTATGAGTTTTTGGCCAAATCCATTGGTGCTCAGGGGCTGCTCCTGGCTCAGGAGTGACCTCTGGCAGTGCTCGGCAGAGTTGTGTGCTGTTAATCAAACCCTGGTTGGCTTACATGTAAGGCAAGCACATTACACTTATGTATTTCTTCCTGTTTTGACCAGAATTATTTCATTATGTGCAAAATTTTGATGTTTTGAAAGTCCTTTCAACATAATTCTATTACATGAATTTTTAAAATGTGATATATATAGTTTTTATATATATTATATATATATATATAGTTTTTACCCAGTATTCACTTCTAAATTTTTCTGTTAGTATACGTTTTTCTCCCTTGTCTGTACTTCATCCCCTGAAAACCATAAGCTTTTTAGAGAATTGATGTTAAATCATTAAATTTAATCTTATGTTTTTAAAAATTTATGTAAAAAGTAATATTTCATGTGTTTGTGGGGGCTGCACTCAAAGGTGCTCAGGAGTACTCCTGACTCTGTGCCCAAAGGGTCGCTCCCAGTGGTGCCTGGGGAGACATATGCGGTGCCTACTTGGGGTATCTTGTTTTGGGAATTGAAATGGGGTCAGTTGAATGGAAGACAAGCAGTTAAAAAAAGCAGCGTAGTTTTATTTAGGAATGGAGAGAGATGAGAATTGGAAGTCCCACAAAGTAAAGGAGGAGAAATTACACACCCTGAACTGAGAAGAGTTTAGCAGAGAGTGACTTTAGAATGGAGTGTGCCTCATACTTTTTTCCCTTATATTTAATTGGATATCATTTGTTCTTTCATCTCTGAAGGTTTTTTTTTTTTTATTGATTTTTTTTTTTTGGTTCACTCCTGGTAGTGCTCAGGGCTTACTCTTGGTTCTGTGCTCAGAAATCATTCCTGGAAAACCCATAGGACCATATGTGGTACTGGGGACCCAGTCAGTCAGTTTGGCTGCATGCAAGACAAGCACCTTAGCCCCTGTACTATCTCTCCATCTCCTTCGTCTGTGAGATTAAGGTTACTAATAATTCTGTTTTGCTATTTATACTTGTGTTAATATAGTTAATACTTACATTTAAAAAAAGTTTTTGAATTTTGGCCACAGCTGGCATCTGTACTTAGGAACCACTCCTGGAAGGCTGAGGGACCATATGGGTACCAAGGATTGATCTCAGGTTGGCTGCATGCAGGACAAGTGCCCTCCCTGCTCACTGTACTCTCTCTGGCCCCAGATAGTAATTTAAAAATCAAGATTTGCGGTTTTATTGTTTTAGTGTCACACTCAGTGGTGCACAGAGGTTACCCCTGGCTCTGTATTAAGGAATCACTCCTGGTGGGCTTGGGGGACCTTATGTGGTGCTGGGGGTTGAACCTATGTTGGCCTCATGCAAGAAAAATTCCCTACCTGCTGTGCTATGTCTTTGACCCTGAGAGTTACAATTTTAAGTCATATATTTTCAGCACTGTAACAACATATTTAGAACTGTTCTACATCTAGCCCAAATTTGTTATTTCTTTGTTTCTTTGCCCATTCTGTTTTTCTTTAAACTGTTGGAACATCCATTCACAGTGGTGCTGGGATAGAGGGCTTTGTGGGGCCGGGGATCAAACCCAGCACCTTATACAAGCAAGTCATTTGCCCCATCACTGAGTCTCACCTCTGTCTCTCATACTTTCTAAAAGTAAATCTGTTCAGGAAATACATGATTTCTAATACTTAATTCTAATGATTTTTTTTTGGCCTCACCTAGTAGTACTTGGTCTGTTACTCCCAGAGGTACTCAGAGCACCATGTGGTGCCAGAGATTGAACCAGGGTTCAATGTATACATGCAAGGCATATATAACTGTAGCACTGTAGCACTGTCCTCCTGTTGTTCATCGAGTTGCTCGAGTGGGCCCTACTATTTATTTAGATTATTTTTTGGCTCCTCTAAAAAAATTTCTTAACATTTTAGGAAGAACATAGTGGGTTTTTTTTTGTTTGGTTTTTTTTTTGATCAATTTCATTTTACCTATAAAATGTAGGACTGTCCTCCCGTTGTTCAACAATTTGCTCGAGCAGGCACCAGTAATGTCTCACAACAAATTGTGAGACTTGTTGTTGCTGGGTTTTGTTTTTTTCTTTTTTTTGCTTTTTGGGTCACACCCGGCAATGCTCAGGGGTTACTCCTGGCTTTGCACTCAGAAATCACTCCTGGTGGTGCTCAGGGGACCATATGGGATGCTGGGAATCGAACCAAGGTCCGCCGCGTGCAAGTGCTACCCGCTGTGCTATTGCTCCAGCCTGTTGTTACTATTTTTGGCGTATCGAATATATCATCGGTAGCTTGCCAGGCTTCGCTGTGTGGGCAAGATACTCTCTGTAGCTTGCCAGTCTCTCTGAGAGGGGTTGAGGAATAGAACCCAGGTTGGCCACATGAAAGGCAAACGCCCTACCCACTGTGCTATAGCTCCAGCCCACCTACAAAATGTAAGTTGAATAATTTAAAATAATTAGTTCAAAGATTTTGTATTGCTGATTCAGTTCTCCTTCTGTATATATAACATGTCTTCTTTTGTACATGATCATGATAGAACAGTGGAAACAAAATTGGATAAACTATCCAGGTTCATTAAGCATTAGTAGGTATTAATTACTTAAACAGTTTTAATTTCACAGATACCAATCTTTTAAATATATAGCACAAAATAAAAACATTAAAAGGTGTTGCCAAGAGTTTTAAACTTCAAGTAAAAAAATTACTACCTAGTTTCAGTGCTAGTTCATAAATTCGCTGCTTATTGTATTGGATGCTAGAAGTAAAACAATCAGTGGACAAGCTTCTAAGTAATGATCTACGTTCCTTTGTCATTTGAATGTCGGTTATACCATTCTGTTTAATTTACCAGAAAAAAATTTTAAAATTTCAATTTTGAATAACACCCAACGGGCAGGGCGTTCACCTTGCATGAGGCCGACCCAGGTTCAATTCCTTCATCCCACTCGAAGAGCCCACCAAGCTACCGAGAGTATCTTGCCTGCACGTCAAAGCCTGGCAAGCTCCCCGGGACGTATTCAATATGCCAAACACAGTATCAACAAGTCTAACGATGGAGACGTTACTGGGCCCGCTTGAGCAAATCGATGAACAACGGGAGGACTGTGCTACAGTGCTACAGTTCAAAGATTAAATTATTAGCTCAAAGATTATTACACAATATTAGGTGGTATGGTACCACTTAACAATCCTTTCTTGGCAAAATTCAGTGGAAATGTTTACTCTTAAATTTTTATTCTTAACATTCTGGTCCCAGTGAAGAACTTAACTCTATTGCTAACTTCCAGCTTACCAGCCCTGCAGCAGAATGGAGCCCCAGCTACTCGGGAGAGGAGGCAGTGGCGTCTTTCGCTGATGTTGGATGGGTAGCCAGAGAAGAAGGAGAGTGTTCAATGAGAAAGAGGTTAGTATGAAAGGCTATCGATGCTGACATCAAATGTTCCTTTTTAATGTTATAAGATGATACGTTTGCAGATTTCCTTTTAATAGTATAATTGGGGGCCAGAGAGAACAGGGAATAAGGCTCTTTTCTTGCATGCTTTTTTTTCCCCTTTTACTTTATGCTCTGCCACTTTTTAATTATAAGATCTTTGGAAAGTCACTTTCACTCAGCTTCTGTTTATTTGTTTATTTCTTTTTAATTTTTTAATGACTCACCATGAGATATAGTTACAGACTTACAAACTTTTGTGATAACATTTCAGTCCTACAATGATCGAGTACCCATCCCTTCTATACCACCAATGTTCCCAGTATTCTTGCCACCCCCTCTCTGTGGCAAGCATATTCCATTTCATTCTCTCTCTCCTTTTGGGTGTTATAGTTTTCAATACAGGTAGTAAGTAGCCATCATGTTTGGTCTGTAGTATACTTTCAGTATGCATCTCCCATCCTGAGCAAGCCCTCCAAGCATCACTCACTTAGTGGTTTCTTCTCTATCCCAGCTGCCTTTTACCCCAGCATGTGAGGCCAACTTCCAAGCCATGGAGTGATCCTCCTGGCACTTACCTCTTGGGTGTTAGTCTCCCATTCTGTTACTTTATATTCCATAAATGAGTGCAGTCATTCTACATCTATCCCTCTTTCTTTGACTCATTTCATTTAGCATGATACTCCCCATGTTGATCCACTTTATGCAAATTTCATGATTCCATCTTTCCTAACAGCTGCATAGTATTCCATTGTGTAGATGTATCAAAGTTTCTGTAGCCAGTCATCTGTTCTCGGGCACTTGGGGTTCTTTTCCAGATTCTGGCTATTGTAAATAGTGCTGCAATAACCATACAAGTGCAGATGTCATTTCTACTGTAGTTTTTTGCCTCTCCTGGATATATTGCCCAAAGTGGTCTTGCTGGGTCAAATTGGAGCTCAGTTTCTAGTGTTTTGAGAAACATCCATATTCTAAAAAGGCTGAACCAGTCAGCATTCCCACTAGCAGTGAAGGAGAGTCCCCTTCTCCGCACATCCATGCCAACACCAGTTGCTTTTGTTCTTTTGGATGTGTCTCAGTCTCTGTGGTGTGAGATGATATCTCATTGTTGTTTTGATTTGCATCTCCCTGATATTTAGTGATGAAGAGCATTTTTTCATGTGCTTTTTGGCCATTCGGATTTCTTCTTTGATAAAGTTTCTGTTCATTTCATCTCCCCATTTTCTGATGGGATTGGATGTTTTCTTCTTGTAGAGTTGAACCAGTGCCTGTATATCCTTGATATTAATCCCTTAACAGATGGGTATGGTGAATATTCTTTTCCATTCTGTAGACTCTCTTTGTATTCCAGTCACTGTTTCTTTTGAGGCGAAGAAGCTTCTTAGTTTACGATAGTCCCATTTGTTTATCTGTTTCCACTTGCTTGGTCAGTGGCATTTAGTCTCTGAAGATACCATTAGCTTCAGTGTAGTGGAGGGTTTTGCCAGTCTTTTCTTCAATGTACCTTGTGGAGTCTGGTCTAATGTTGAGGTCTTTAATCTACTTTGATCTGACTTTTGTGCATGGTGTGCATGGTAAAGGTCTAAGCCCATTTTTTTTCATGTAGCTGTCCAGTTTGCCAGCACCATTTGTTAAAAAGGTTTTCCTTGCTCCACTTTGTTTCTTGCTCCCTTATCAAAGATTAGATGATATTTGAGGGTGTGTATAAGAGTATTCAACCCTATTCCATTGGTCTGTGGATCTGGCTTTTTTCCAGTACCATGCTGTTTTAATTATTATCACTTTATAGTACAGTTTGAGGTTGGGGAAGGTAACTCTCATCTTTTTTTCCCCAAGAATTGCTTTAGCGCTGTTGTTCCATATGAATTTCAGGGCTTTTTGATCAATTTCTTTGAGAATGTCATGGGTATTGTTATAGGAATCGCATTGAATCTGTATAATGTTTTGGGAAGTATTGCCATTTTGACAATGTTCATTCTCCCAGTCCATGAGCAAGGTGTGTGTTTCCATTTCCTTTGTGTCCTCTTTTATTTCTTGAAGTAACGTTTTGTAGTTTTCTTTGTACAGATTCTTTACTTTCTTAGTTAAGCTGATTCCGAGTTACTTGATTTTCTGAGGCATGATTGTGAACGGGATTGCTTTCTTCACACCACTTTCTTCTCTCTCATTATTTGCACATAGAAAAGCCATGGACTTTTGGGTATTGATTTTATAGCCTGTGACTTTATTATACGTCTATTTTTTCTAGGAGCTTCTTGGTAGAGGCTTTACAGTTTTCTAAATATAGTATCATGTCATCTGCAAATATTGAGAGCTTGATTTCTTCCTTTCCTATCTGGATGCCCTTAATATCTTTTTCTTGCCTAACTGCTATGGCAAGTACTTCCAGTACTATATTGAATAAAAGTGGTGAGAGTGGGCATCCTTATCTTGTCCCTGATCTTAGGGGGAAGGCTTTTAGTTTTTCCCCATTGATGATAATTTTGGTGTGGGCTTGTGGTAGATGGCTTTGACTATAGTGAGGAAAGTTCCTTCAGTTCCAATTTTGGTGAGAGTTTTCATCATAAATGGGTGTAGACAGTCCTGCTTAGATCCCAACACCACATGTGTTCCCCTTAGCACAGAGCCAGAAGTAAACCCTGAACAGTTATGGGTAAGTGCCACAAAACAAACAGAATAACCCAAGGTAACTAACCTTAGTACCTAATTGGTATTATTCTTGAGCAGTCTTTTCTGTTATGTCATAGGATTCATCCCCAGCAGTGTTGGGCTTACCCCTGTGTGAGATAATCAGTACTTAGGAGCTACAAGGCCATGGTAGTGTCAAGGACCACCAGTACTACACAGTGAGATGCTCGTGGGCCAGCAAGACTACATATGGCAGTGAGAATGAAGTTTGCAAGGGATCAAACTTAGGATCCTCACGTGCTAGGAATGTACTTTTATAAAAACCACTTATGCCGTATTCTTGGTGTTTTCTGCTTATTTTAAAGACTCACATAGTATTTAGTTTGTAGAGGCAGATGACTGTGTCCCTTACCTTTTGAACTTCAGAATTTTCTCCCCTTTAGAAGTTAAATATCTAATTTGAGAAGAGGAAAACTTGTTACATTTATGTTTAGATTATCACAGTAATTACTGATTATAATTTTGTACTGTGAGGAATCAATGTGTGGTTTATATTAGGGATTTTGTGTAAATACTGGAGAATACTCCCTAAAAACTACAGAACAGGATAAATTAGATTGAAAGGAAGCAATATATGGGATAGAGGATTACTTCCATTTAACTGAAAGAGCTGTAATACATGATTGACTCCTTATGTGTTCAGAATACTCAGCATACTATCTATTCCTATTGGGCATCAAGGATTCAAAGATAAAGTAAGACATGATCTTGCCTTAGCAGGAATATTTGATGTGCTAGAGGTCATTAAGGAAATCAGTAAATCATACTGGTATTCTAAGGTATGAAGAAGCGATAGCACGCACAGCAGTAGGGCATTTGCCTTGCGCGCAGCCAGACTGGCTGAGCCGGGTTCGATTCCTCTGCCCCTCTTGGAGAGCCTGGCGAACTACCAAGAGTATCTCGCCCGCACAGCAAAGCCTGGTAAGCTCCCTGTGCCATATTCGATGTGCCAAACACAGTAACAATAAGTCTCACGATGGAGACATTACTGGGTCTGCTAAAGTATAAATGAAGTAAATACTGAAGGCAAATTGGGATGAGAGGTGTGGTAGGTGGTCTCAGGAGCGGCTGCTAGAGTTGTATGGTAAGGATTAGTAGGAGGCAGTTAAACAGGAAAGATGAATCCTGGAAAGGTGAATTCATTTAAAGGTCCAACGTAAGAGACAAAGTATGTTCAGTAAGTTCCAGATGGTTGTGAGACTTAGGGAGCAGCAGAAAAGGGTAAACTATAGATGTATGTGGAAAGCAGGTCGTATTACACAAAGAGATGTAGACTTTTCCTGAAAGCACTGTGGAGCCATATGAAAGGTAGATTAATCAGAATATATGTTGCATAAACAAAGTGCCACGGTGATTTTTTTTTCCAGATTTTAATGTCTTATTAAAATTATCCTAGGGGCTGGGAATATAGTACAATGGGAGAGCACTGGCATTGCACACAGCTGGCCTAGGTTCAGTCCCCTAAGCACTACCAAGAATAATTCTAGAATGTGGAGCCAGGAGGTAACCCCTTAGCATTACTGAATGTGGCCCAAACACTCTCTCCCCCTCCCTCCAAATATTCTTTTCAGGTTGATTATAGCTCATGCATAATTTATATAAAATCTTTCAAAAATAATACATATTTTATATTTACTCAGGTTACTATTACTGTACTATTACTGTTTCTTATTGAAGTTTACCTTCATTTAATTTTCATCTACCATTTTGGTTTGTTTTTCAACTATACTTGTAAGCCAAACATTTTGCTTTTTCACAAATAATTTCAAATTAAATAAATACAGTTGACATTACTAAAATTGGTTTCACTGTCAACTTAGGGCTGGGTAAACTAGAACTAACCCATTCTTTTCCCCAAATGTATTTGTTAAATAAAGATCAAGGTAAAATTGCTATGCCAAAGATTTATAGCTCAGTATATATAAGGCACCCTGGGTTTGATCCTGGGTACCACAAAAGCAGTAACAAAGAAAACAAAACTCCAAATTTGCAAGTGATCCCCTCTGTGTGGATACTTTAACAGGATTTAAAACAAACAAACAAAAAAAGCCTCAAAACTAGATAGGAAGAAAAATATCTGAATTTACTACCTAATACCAAAAGCTATGAATCCAAGAATTCCAGGCAGAGGGCTGGAGAGAATGTATAGTTCAGGGATTAGGGCACTTGGTCTTGCACGTGGCTGACCCTGGTTAGATCCCTAGCATTGCTGGAAGCAACCCCAGAGTACCACCAAATATGGCCCCAAACTCTCCAAAATAAATTGAAAAAACACAAGGTAGAATAAAGAACTATCACCGGCTTGCAGATGAAAATATGCAATTATAGAAAAACGAAAATAGAACTTAATGTTAGTGACTCTTATAAGTTAGTATTAAGTTTAACTATATGTACCAAAAAAGCCTAAACAAGCTTCCATCCTGTTAAAAGTCATCATTTTTCTTCTCATTAGATAGTTGATTTGTTTTTCCCTCCAATCAAAACCAGAGTAGTGCATGTGGGGGTGAGAGAGGCCGGGCCTTCCGTCACCCTTTGTTCTGGCTTCTGTACAGGGTTAGCTTCTGGCCTCGGACATTGAAACCAGGTACTGCTGTGCGCTCACAGGCTTTCATGGAGATGGGGGAGGAGGGGAGGCTCAGATGAAAGGACTTTCTCATGGCGTCATCTCCCTTTAAACAGTCTTCCTGGGTGGCTCACCAACATTCTGCTGGCAGCTGCTCAGTCAACACTCAGTCATCTGACCAGTGAGGCTGGGAGGCTGGAATGGTGACTTAACTGGGGGTATGATTTCAAAATGAATTTTCACATCAAATGATCACAGTGTATGCCAAAACACGGCATCTCACTAAAACTGCAAGAAGCAATCCTAAGGCCAGAAACCTAATGGTAAAAAATAAGGAAATAAGTACATGAATAGACAGTTGAAAAGAAAGCTGAATTTTATTTCCAAAAAGAAAAACAAAAGCTTCCATTTACAGCTGTAGTCATACTATTAAAAAAATCTTTTACTTACACCTAACTAAAAAGGTGCTCATCTAGTTACTGCCATGGGTTTGATTATAATGGCTTTCTCCTTTTTTTTTCTCTAATGCTGTATTTGGCCCATATTGTTTCAGTATTTCACAAATCAATACATCCATCATATGTGGAAAACAAAGGCATCCAAATACAAGTCCCTACCGTGGCTCGTAGATTATTGACTTTTGTGGTCAAATATTAGTCTTCTGGTTTTTTTTGGGGGGGGGGCGGGGGCATAACTGGCAGTGCTCAGGGCTTCTGGGTCTGAGCTCGGATCTCTCCTGGTAGAGAATGGGGAACCATACATGATTGGGCCATGTGTAAGGCAAGTGCTGTACCCACTGTGCTATTGCTTTGGCCCCACAGTTGTTGTTGTTGTTATTGTTGTTGTTTCATTTTGCTTTTGAACGACACCTGACAATTCTCTGGTTACTCCAGGCTCTCTGCAGGATCATTTCTGGCGGGCTAGAGGGACTATAATGGGATGCTGGGATCAAATCTGGGTTGACCATGTGCAGGGCAAGCGTCCTACCCATTGTCCTATCCCCCCGGCCCCCCAGGTCTACTTCTTTCTTTTTTTTTTTTTTCTTTTTGGGTCACACCTGGTGATGCACAGGGGTTACTCCTGGCTCTGCACTCAGGAGTTACTCCTGGCAGTGCTCAGGGGACCATATGGGATGCTGGGAATTGAACCCAGGTCGGCCGCGTGAAAGGCAAACATCCTACCCACTGTGCTATCTCTCCAGCCCAAGGTCTACTTATTTCTAACGTGCTATAAGGTTTCTTCAGTTCTTACTGAAACACAAAACTTGAATTAGCAAAAGGAATATGCATGATGCATTTCAGTAGTGTTGGCTTATATATAATATATACATATATATGTATTTTATATGTATATATTATTAAGGACTGGATGTTAAAGAGTACATGCTTTGGATATTTAGGGCCGTTTTAATCCCTGCCAACACAAAAATTAAAAAAAAAATTAAAAAGAATGACGGCAACAAAATACCCCAGGCCTGATACGTTTGTCTACCAACTTGAGGAGTGCTTTGTAGTTTTTAAACTTTGTAGTTTTTCTGTATGTGTGTGTGTTGGTGCTTTTTTCAGTCTCCCCTGTCAACCCCTAGCAATACTCATTCCTAACTCTGCTTAGTGGATGCTTATTGGTTTTGGGGATTGGATTCAAGGCAAGTGCCCTAACGCCTCTACTCTCACTCTCCCACTATTGTTTTTAAATTTATAGAAGGGTGATTATTTAGGCCCAGCCTGAGAAGTGGTTCCCAGGTGTGTGAACTATTTTGCCTAACTGGCAGTGATGGTATTTCTCATTCCCTACACAGCTCTGACGCTCAACTTTTGTCTTCCTTTGTAGGACAGAGGTCAGGTCAAGGCAGCCCTCCCTTCAGGAGGATCTTCCGTTCCTTGAGAAGCCTCCCAGCAGGTATATTTCCTTACCAAACCTGTCTTCAGAGGAGCCTCAATCCAAGACTTCAACTCTAGCGAATGAGGAAGCACTGCAGAAGATCAGTGCCCTTGAAAATGAACTCGCTGCTCTCAGAGCGCAGATTGCCAAAATTGTGACCCTGCAGGAGCACAAGAATCTCACAGCAGGTTTGCAAAGTCTACGTTTGTTTTAACCAGCAAACTGGAAATTAGAGGACAATGCACTAATTTAAAAATATTCATAACAGCAGGAGGGTTATTAGAAAACCAGTAGTCAGCCCTTAGCACAGGCTGTGTAGGACCCAGACAGCTGTAAGCAGTTTTTATGTTGTGATCTCCGTGTTCTCGAAGAGGATGGCTCGTGAGCACCCTTGGGAAAACACGCAGATCCTTCCACTTGAATTACTCCTCATGTGAACATGTTTCTCTTTCATGAGTGTCTGTGATACCTGTCGAGTCTGACTTTAGGTCATCTCAGAATAGCCTGAGGGATGCAGTGCTATTTACTTACTGCATGTTCTGAAGGCAGTCACTTGCTGAGGCTTTTTATGAATCCAAAGGGCCAAATTCTGATATGTACTTTTCTCTGCCATAAGAAGGGAATAAAGTACATGTTAAGAATTATTATGGGGACAGATACGGAAATTATATAAAATGCCGAAATTATATAAAATGAAGTGATTATAATCACTTCATAATCATTTTCTCTCCCGTATGCCCAGGGAAGAAATGAGGTCAGGTCCCCAGACTCCTGGTTGAATCCTGTTGCTTTGCTTAGCGTGGCACTGTGCCTTTGGAAGAGGACTGTTAACCTTGAAATCCTACCCTAGCCTGTTTGCAAATAATAGTTGTTTTTCCTGGTGTTGTTCCGGAGTCCTGGATAGACTGTTAATCAGCTCTCTCTAAAGAAGGGCACTTACTCTGGGCTGCGCTGCTCCGCCTGTGCTGGACAGTGATGCAGCCAACATGGAAACCTTACCCTGCCTGTGTGCGGCAGGGTGGACAGAGGGTGAATGCAGCCAGCATCACGTGCTCGACACTATTTGTGTGGCAAGCAGCTGACCCAGCTTCAATCCCCAGAACCCCATATGGTCCCCTGAGCCCACCAGGAGTTGTCCCTAAGTGCAGAGCCAGGAGTAAGCCCTGAGCACCACCGGGTAAGGCCCCCAAACAAACAACAAAAAACCTTGCCTATATAAATTGCATTTCTCTGGTTTTACCTCCCTCTTCTGGCAGACAAGGAAAATTGCATTAGATAAAGAGATAAACTGAGAATTCCTGTCAGATACTCTTTTGTTAACCAAAATTCCTTAAGCAAATCTTTTTCATCTTTGGTCAGTAAAGTCCACCCAGTGAACAACTGTGCCTATAGTTATGCAAATTGATATATTTATATGTTCTTATTTTATAATCATTTTAGCTTTTTTGTTTCAGAAAGTTTGTTCAACAGTACATTTAAAGCTTTTCCTTTCTAGACAGTCACTGCACATTAGTTGTGTGTAGCATCAGCTTTATATGTAGATATACTTAAAATGAACTACACATTAAATAGTTCTTTCAAATAGTTATAATTCTAAGTTGTTAAGCTGCATGTCTTAGATATTTATGCAGCATAGAGTACTTTATATTTCACTTGAAAATACTTTCAAACTTTCATATTCAGACTTGAACATTTGATATCACAAAAACACCTCTGTTAAATAAATGAAACTTTTTTATCTGTAGAGCTTGGAGTTAAATAAGACAGTGACTGAAATTCAGGTGTATAGAGTCTAAGCAAGTAGCTGAAACTTTACTTACATAACTGAGATTCTTTTAAGGATTGTATTTTAATAATGTACAGGAAAGTCCTTAACATTGTGCTTTGAGAAATACTGTCTTTGGCCGTCACCATCAGAATTAAGTCCTTTTCTTATTTCTGTTGGTGATTTAGATCCTGCTGCATCTGTTACTGCCCAGCCAGTTCCCCCCCCACCGCCTCCCCCCCCTCCCCCACCGCCTCCCCCCCCTCCCTCTGGACTCCACCAAAGTAAATCTGCTGTTGACCTGATCAAAGAGAGAAAAGAAAAGAGAGCCAATGTTGAAAAGACTTTGGTTAAGAACTCTCCAAAGAAACAGGACATGCCAAATATGCTAGAGATTCTCAAAGATATGAATAGTGTGAAGCTTCGGTCAGTAAAAAGGTAAGGATAAATATGTACCGTCTTTTTATGTACTGTAAACTCTTATGCTCTGCTTCACGAGAACTTTGTTTAATAACATGGATACCATGAATAGTTACTCTACGTAGATAAAAGATTAACTAAACATCTCCAGATTTTTTCCTAGTCATTCCCTGCCCCTACATTGCAGTCAAAGGGCCTTTCATGTAGTTCTTAGTACTATTGTCCATTCATTCTTGTGTGTACAGTGTACCTACCATGGCAGGTACTTGGCTGACGGAGGAGAGTGGTGCCTAAACTGCCCTGAAGGAGAGCACGATCGGGCTCTTCAGCTGAGTGGCTGTTCATCAGGCACTTTGGTGCTCTTTCATTGAGCCCTGCTTAACTCAAGGTTTTCCATCTCATGCTATCCATACTTACTAGTACACTAACTGAAAATCTGTGATGCTGAAAGTACTGCAGGCATGTAAACAACACGGTCCCTAAGGGCCTGTTGGTGTACTTAAATGTCTCTTTGGTTTCTGTTTCTTTCCCTAAGGTCAGAACAAGATACGAAGCCCAAACCAGTTGATGCTACTGACCCGGCTGCTGTCATAGCAGAGGCTCTGAAAAAGAAGTTTGCTTATCGGTATCGAAGTGATAGCCAAGGTGAAACTGAAAAAGGAATTCCAAAGTCTGAATCAGAGGCCACCTCAGAAACAGTGTTGGTGAGTATTAGTTCATACATACGAGCACTGGCATTACACAGATAAACATGCACCTGCATTCTCTGTAAGAGTCCAATTAAGTCCCTATAAGATTTTCCTAGGGGCTGGAGAAAGAACGCAGCATAAGGCACATGGTTTGCTTGCAGCCTACCGGGTTTAATCCCTGACATGGCATTTGGTCCCTTAAGCACTCCATAAGCACAGAGCCAGGAATATAGGCGCAGAATGGAGCACTGAGGAATAGAGCACTTTCTTGGGTATATCCAAGTCCTAAAAACGATAAAGTAAAAAATGTTACTGGGTCACAGTAGTTCATTTGGAAATTTGAAACTTACATAATGAACCCTAGTTTTACAACTTAGCATTCCCAGCATTAAATATTTAAAGAAAGTTTTTTATCTTAGGACATCCGTGACAGTTTTCTGAAGAGGGTAAACATTGACTTGGATGTATAGGATGTGCGCCAGGTCACCAGTGGAGAGCAAGCAGAGATACCAGAGAAGCTCTTAAGAATTCAGTTCCCGGGGCTGGAGTGATAGCACAGCAGTAGGGCGTTTGCCTTGTGCACGGCCGGCCCGGGTTCAATTCCCAGCATCCCATATGGTCCCCCGAGTACTGCCAGAAGTAATTCCTGAGTGCAGAGCCAGGAGTAACCCCTGAGCATCGCCGGGTGTGACCCAAAAAGCAATAAATAAATTAAAAAAAAAAAAGAATTCAGTTCCCATATTTGTCACGATAGATATGTGCTTAACTACTTCTAGAAATTTTAGCATCTCTAGAGCTTTTTGACAGATTTTAGAAAATTTGTGCTTTTTAAAAAATTATTTATTTATTTATTTTGCTTTTTTGGGGTCACAACTGGCGATGTTCAGGGGTTCCTTCTGGCTCTGCACTCAGGAGTTACTCCTGGCGGTGCTCGGCGGACAATATGGGATGCTAGGGATTAAACCTGGGTCAGCTGCGTGCAAGGCAAATGCCCTCCCTGCAGTACTATTGCTCCAGCCCTGTGCTTTTTTTAGATTCAGAAAATTCTTTTTTTTTTTTTTTGGTTTTTGGGTCACACCCGGCAATGCTCAGGGGTTACTCCTGGCTCATGCACTCAGGAATTGCTCCTGGCGGTGCTCGGGGGACCATATGGGGTGCTGGGAATCGAACCTGTGTCGGTCATGTTGGCTGCGTGCAAGGCAAACGCCCTACCCGCTGTGCTATCGGTCCAGCCCCAAAATTCTTATTTTTTAATGTCCAAATGTTTGAGTCCCCATCATGATCCAACCACCCCGGCTACCTCTTGCGCCCCTCTTTTTTTTTTTTTTTTTTTTTTTTTTTGCATTTTTGGGTCATATCCGGCAATGCACAGGAGTTACTCCTGGCAGTGCTAGGGGGACTATATGGGATGCTGGGAATCGAACCCGGGTTGGCCGTGTACAAGGCAAATTCCCTTCCCGCTGTGCTATAGCTCCAGCCCCTCCTGCCCCCCATTTCTGTTGTGATGAATTTCCATTTTCAAAGCATCATAGTATGAGAGGATAGTAAATTTATGCTTTATTCATAAGTAAAATTGGACTAAAGGGTTTTTGCTAAGATGATTATTGTACTAGGAACTAATTTGGTTACCTCTTTGTCTTTTCTTTTGTTGATTTATTATTAATTTGTTTCATTAATTTATTAATTTGTTTATTATTACAATTGCTTGCTTTGAGTTTCTTCAGAATTCTCATATCTATACTTCACCACTGTAGCCAGTGAAATCGGCCCCCACCTCCAACCCTCCCCCAACAGCAGTCTCATTCAGTTTCTGGCTGTTCCATCCAACATAGTACCTGAGTGTTCCCAGCATACAGATCCATCACAGGGAGGGGGCAGGCCACTGTTAAATGAGCCAGTATCTTAGTTTACCTTTTGTTTCTTTTCTAGTTTGGACCACACATGTTGAAGCCTACGGGGAAAATGAAGGCCTTAATTGAAAATGCTTCAAATTCCTAACGGACAACAATAAGCTGAGAAAGACTTTCTTTGTTCAGCTGTTGATTTGTTAGGTCTATGTAGAAATCAACACTATTAGTAAATACCTGACTTTAGTATTCAGTACTCTCTTTAAATCTAGTTAGAGGATTAAGCAAGAACAAAACCAGTGTGCATCTGTTCTTGCTTTTATGAAAAGGTCAGTTCTGAAGTTTCCATAATGTCTTATATGCAACATGTTTTTAATATCACAGCTGGGTGTTTAGCTTTCCAGTATTGAAAACAGTTACATAGTATTCAGAACAAAGAAAGGACATTTATAGGTATGAATTTTTAACACTAATTTATCTGTACAAATGTTTTATATACACATATTTGGATATAAAACAATCTGAAAATTTTAGAAATGATGGCAATAAGAATACAATTATTGTCATTCATTTTCAGTGATCATTTTGTCAGTGTTGGAACAACTTTGATACAACACAAGTTGTTAGAGTGACATATTTGAGTTTGGAATCTTTCTTGCCTTGAACAGAACATTTATTTATCTGAGATTCTTGCATTTTCTTGGAGATGGAATTTGAATAGGAACCAGAAAATGTTCACTGCTGAAATTTTATAATGTATAGAATTAAACTTTAAAGGGAAGACAAAACCCAAGAAAGCCATTTCCCCCCGAGTGCCATCCAGTACTGAGCAAGAAATTACAGTTTTCAAATAGAAAGGAATGAAATTATTGAATTAGATATCTTTTAAAGTAAAACCCGGAAGGTACCATCATTTTCTTTTTATAAATAGCATCATAAAGATGACTTGTTGCTAAGTTAATTCTTCTGTGAATGTCAGCATTATGGACTTAAGTTTAACTGTTGGTCAAAATGACATCTTTTAAATAGGTGATAGAATTTCCCTTGCTATCATTGGTCAGAATGCTGTTCTGTTGAATTACATTATGCAACATAAGCATACGGTGTTATTACAAAGTGGAGAATGGCCCTTGTCATCTAGAGCTTCTGAGGAGTTGGCTGGAAGTGATCATTTTAGAATGCTTGTAAGTCTTCATGATTTTTCTGTATTTCTGTTATTCTCAGAGATAGCTAATACTGGAATCTCCTACCATGAGTAAATATTTGGATTTATTATTTAAGTCTAATTTAATAAGTTGGACCTTCTAGGGGGATTCAGATGTAGGAAAAGTAGATAGTTTTAAGTTATTGAAAATATGTGCAATGTTCTAAATATTAGCAAATAATAATTGAAGTAATTTACATGATCTGGTTATTAAGTTTAAATTTCACCTGTGGCTTATTTTACACGTATTGATGTGTACTGTTTGTAATTGTTTTATATGGTTTAAAAATTCTGCCTTTAAAAAAATTCATAAAATTCTCCTGACATTCCAAGAAATTTTGATTTGTATCAGTATTGGATCGTGGCCAGTGCTCCAATAAGGAAGTTACTGTTTCGAAATAAAGCAAACTTTATTTTCCTTGGACCATGGTGCCTGTTTTGTTTGTTTTAAATAATGGGTAAGATTCTTTTGTATTCACACAGAGATGTAGAATAATTGTTTTCTGCTTTTTTCAAGTTGAAATCAATTCTTTTAAGATAAATTATCACTTCATGCACCTTTTCTCTTAAAGGGATTTCAACATTAAAATCAAGAAGAGCAAACATTTGGTATGAATTTTCTCAGGATTCTTAATGCCTCTAATCTTACCTCTGGAATTATTGGCGGTTTCCCATCTGCCTCCATAACCCATCTCATTCAGTGATTGCTTCTCCATCCAATAAAATATCTTAAACAAAAGGTCTTTCAGTATTTAAACACTGTAGTTTTATAGCTAAGGTTCAAAGCTTAATGTAATGTTTTGCCTAATTCTGACTAGTCCAACAACCCACAGTATATACATAGTGAACACCTGCACTAAATGAGCACTGGACTTGGATGTTAAACACAAGTCTGATTGAGTCATGTCCTTTCAGTTTTTAATGCGGGAATAATGTTCATCTCAAGAAATGGTAGAGGGATTAACTTCTGACTTTGAACACACCCTATCAATGGCAGACTGGTAAGCAAGTTATTATTACTTAAATGCCATTGTTTCAGTGTCACTTAAAATTTCCAGTAAAATGAAATTTCTTAGGATGTATGGTCCCTGGCACTGGAAAATGGTCCTCCTTAGCACTCCTTGCTCAGGTTTGGAGTGAAATAGGTATGACTTGGTGCTGTCTGCCCAGGCCCAGCCTTAGAAGAATACTGTCCTCTTGTATTGGGACTGCTGTGAGATCCGAGAGTGTGTGCAATAGGCTGAGTGCGTGCTTTGTAAGTAGAAGTCTGGGTTTGATTTCCATCACTGCATATTCCTGCATGTGCCACCAGATGTGGCCCCTAAGCAACGGAGCCAGGAAATAGTACAGCAGTTATGCTGCATGCTAGGCATGCCAGGTTTGATTCCCAGCACCACACAGTCCTGTAAGCCCCAGAGTCTCCCCATTACCACTGATAATAGTAATTGTCATTACTATTGAAATGCCACGGTTTCAAAGGCAGATTCCCAACACTGCAGAGCTGAGCATCATACCTCAGACCCCTTGCACTGACTCTCTGGTCCAGTTGGCTGAGAGTTAATGGCGGGGACCCTGGGTCATAGGGGAAAAAAGTCCTATGAGATCACTTCTCAGTGATGGACAAGGAAACATGAAGAAATCATGCCAGAATAAAATGAATACATTTAGGAACCCATCCTTAAGTTCTGTACTTTCTTACTTTTGGGAATCCTTCCTTTACAACCCATACTTTGAAAATAAAGTTCTCTGTGAATTGAAATCTGAGCTGGTAGAAATTTATTTTTTTTATTTTTTAAATTTTTATTAGTGGAACACCATGAGGTACAGTTGTAGGCTTACAAATTTTTGTGCTTGGGTTTCAGTTATATAATGATTGAGTACTCATCCCTCCACCAGTGCCCATTCCCCACCTCCAGTGCTCTCAGCATCCCTCCCACCTCCCCCCACCCCCCCCCATCCTACCCCACCCCTGAGGCAGGGCATTCCCTTTTGTTCTCTCCTTTTGGGTGCTGTCATTTGCAAAAGAGGCATTGAGTGGCAATCATGTTCAGTCTGTAGCATGCATCTCCCATCCTGGGAGGATCCTCCCAACACCTTTTACTTGGTGTTCCCCTCTCTATCAAAGCTGCCTTCTCCAAGTCATGGAGTCAACCTCCTGGTACTTATCTTGACTATTCTTGGGTGTTAGTCTCCCATTTTGTTACTTTATATTCCCCAGAAGAATGTAGTCTGTCTGTCCCTCTCTTTCTGACTCATTTTACTTAACATGATACTTCCCATGTAGTACCACTTGTATGTAAATTTCATGACTTTATCTTTTATAACAACTGCATAGTACTCCGTTGTGTAGATGTACCAGAGTACATTTACTTTCACCAGTCATTTGTTCTTGAACACTGTTTTTTTCCCAGATTTTAGCTATTGTGAATAGTGCGGCAATGAACATAGAAGTGCAGATGTCATTTTGACTGTACTTTTTTGCCTCTCCAGGATATATTCCCAGGAGTGATATTGCTGGGTCAAATGGAAGCTCAATTTCTAATTTTTTGAGAATCGTCCATACTGTTTTCCAAAAGGGCTGAACCAGTCAGCATTCCCACCAGCAGTGAAGGAGAGTCCCTTTCTCACCACATCCATGCCAACACCGATTGCCCCTGTTCTTTTGGATGTGGGCCAGTCTCTGTGGTGTGAGATGATATCCCATTGTTGTTTTGATCTGCATCTCCCTGATGATTAGTGATGTAGAGCATTTTCTCATGTGCCTTTTAGCCAATCGGATTTCTTCTTTGGGAAAGTTTTCTGTTCATTTCATTACCCCATTTTTCGTTGGGGTTAGATGTTTTCTTCTTGTAGAGTTCAACCAGTTTTTTGTATATCCTTGATATCAACCCTTTATCAGATGGGTATTGGGTAAATATCCTTTCCCATTCTGTAGATTGTCTTTGTATTCTGGTTATTGTATCTTTTGAAGTGCAGAAGCTTCTTAATTTAAGATAGTCCCATTTGTTTATCTCTTGTTTCCACTTGGTTGGTCTGTGGAGTGTCGTCTTTGAAGATACCATTAGCCTCAGTATCGTGGAGGGTTTTGCCGACCTTGTCTTCAATGTATCTTATGGATTTTGGCCTGATGTTGATATCTTTAATCCATTTTGATCTGACTTTTGTGCATGGTGTTAGGTCGAGGTCTAAGCCCATTTTTTTGCTTGCGGTTGTCTGATTACGCCAGCACCATTTGTTGAGCTGTTAGAAATTTAAAGTTTTAAGAAGTTAACTCAATAAAGTCAGTTCTCGGTAGTCTCACAGAACAAGATGCCTGATTTTAGGAAGTCTTACTGTCAACTGTAGTTTTCAGCCACTCTGACATCCTTTTTTCCTTTATCTTACAGGCTTAATGTTTTTAACTTTCCCATTAAACCTATTTCTAATTTTTTTGGCTTATAAATTCTCTTTTGGGATCAGAGAGAGAGAAAATGCAGGGGTTAATGCCTTGCATGTGGCAGACCCCAGTGCAATTCCTGGCACTTATAGTCCCATGAGCACAGCCAGGTGTCCCCCAAGCACTGCTAGGGTGACCCCAGGTATCCCTGACACTGCATCCTTAGGTGCACTCGGCACTGCTTGTGAAGCCCCCCAATGCACAAAAAGTTACAGCACTTGCACACATGCTTCCCCCAAGGTCACACTCCTTAGCTGTAATGCTTACACACAAGTGGGTTGTAGGGCTCACCAAGGAATATACACCTGGCTGTGCTGCTTCCATTCTTTTGCCCCTTCCCCTTCCCTGTTTTTGCAGCAATGAACTGGCCAGGGTGTGGGGGAGGGGGAGTCACACATTCGCACATCTGGCTTTGGTGCTTGTACAGCCAGTGTGGGGTTCACAGTTGGTGATGCTTGCACTTCTTTGTGCTCACCGTGGTTCCTGCTTCCTGGCTGTGACACCTTTTCAGTTGTGCTCACTTGGGTCACAATCCTGTGGACTAACACAGCTGGTGGTGTGCAGCTGGAAAACCACTTACGATGCTGAGGATCACAGAAAGCAGAGCTGCCCATATTGTACTTAGCACAGGTGCTAACACTGGGGTATGAATTTGTGAGCATTTGCATGCAAACACACACAGCTGGTTGTAGTTGTCCGAGACCCCAAACTCCCAGGCTTCCCAGTGCTCAACACATGTGAAGCAAATTCTTCTAAAGTTTGTAACTTTATTGATACTAGTATCATCACCTCAAAAAGCATATTACTAGGGATCCAAAAACTTTACATGTTTCCCTGGCTGAGCCTATATGAGATATATAGTTTCCCTTTGACGACTATATGAGATAGAAGCTGGAGCTTCATTTAAAGACATTTAAAGATTCTCAGCCCCCCTGGATGTCACAAAGTCCTTCTGTTAGGTTAGAGTACAATGAGTTTAATTTAGATTTTCACCGGAAGGTAAATGATTAATAACCCAACTAGTGCCTCCCACTCCATGCAAAACTTTCTGCTACTGAAGTGCAGTTCCTCATCATCGTTTTCAATCTTGAGAATTAGCATGGTTCCACCAAAGACCTTCAGTAACCAAAGCAATTCTGAAAAGAAAAAGTAGTGACTTTAAATGGTACTACAAAGTTACAGGAATCTGAACAGTAGGATTTTGGGGTTGTAGCTTAGTGGTCGGGTACCTGTATGAGGCCACACATTCAGTCCTCAGAACTGCCTCACATTGTCCACTGCAAGCACTGCAACTGAGTATGTGTAACACTCAGCAAGCATCATTAAGGATGTATCCTGAGCATCTTAACAAGAGAGGGAAGGAGAAGATGAAAATAGTGTAGTATAGGAATAAAAACAATGGGACAGGGTGGGTAGCTAACATGAATAATTCATTTACTCTGGTTTACAACACAGAAACCAAAAATATTTTTTAAAGTCTTTTAAAGTAGTACTGGGAAAACTGGGTCACTATCTTACCCCATGTACAAAAATTAATTCAAAATAGGTTTGTGGTTTTTTAGGGGGCCACACCTAGCGATGTTCATGGGTAATCCTGGAGGTAACTCAGGAATCACCCCTGGAGGTATTCAGGGGACCATATATGGTCCTGGGATTAGACCGAGATGTCAGGGATCGAACCAGGATCAGTGGTATGGAAAGCAAGCACCCTACCTGTTTTACTCTCCAGCCCCATCAAAACAATTTTAAAGCTTTTATTTTTTAAAATTTTCTTTTGTTGTTATATTTATATATTGATTCACTGTGGGAAAAGTTAAAAAGCTTTCAGGTTTGAGTCTCGGTCATACAATGATCAAACATCTTTCCCTTCACCAGTACTTATTTCTCACCACCAAGAACCCCAATATACCACCCCTCCCACCTGTTCCAATGCCTGTCAGGCAGATGATTTCTACTTAACTCTCTTTGATTACATTATTATTACTTTGATTACATTATTTCAACAAAAGATGCACCATGATTGTTTGAAATTTCCCCCCAACAATCAGAACTGCTGAAAAGGCATTGTGAAATAATTTGTTTTCTATAGTTGGTTATGAGAACCATATGATTTTGGATTTCTGATATTTTATTAATTAAGTCTGGAAGGATTTCTGCCAAGGGCCAGATAATTACAAAATTGGTTTCTGTGTCTCTGGAGCCATGGCCGTGCCAGAGAGCCGCTCGTGGGGGGCAACTCATGGCCTCGGTAGAGCATGAAGGACGAGCCGGTACTGTTCCCCCTTCCCATGAGGCTGCAGTTGCCCTGTCACTGCCGGCTCATACCCGGCTTTCCAATAAGCTCCGAGGCGGCGGCCACCTTTCTGCGGGGGGGGGGGGAGGGGAGGTGGAAGGGAGAAACACCTTTTCCCCCCTGGGGAGGCATGGTGCCGTAGTTTAATGCACAGTCCATTCACTTTTCTGCCACAAGGTGCCGGGCTCTGGTTTAAGTCCTTGTGCCTCTGGAGAGTTTTAAAGGTTTTAAAGAGAGCTGACACTAAATAGAAAAAATATTTGGTAAGGTTCTTCACATCATCATTACCAATGTTTTTGTGGATCAAACCCCAACAGTCCTATCCAGCTTAATAAATGGTTGAATAAATAGCAGTACTCCTACATTTAAAAGAAAAAGCAACATAAGCAAAAGTAAAAATAAGTGAGATTACGTTAAAAAACTTGATAAGTGTGGGCTGGAGTGATAGTACAGCTGGTAGGGCATTTTCCTTGCATATGGTAGACCTGGGTTCAATCTCCAGCATCCCATTGGTCCCCTAAGTACCACTTGGAATATTTTGAGTGCAGAGTCAGGAGTAACTCCTGAGCATCACCAGGTGTGACCCCCCCAAACAAAACACACTAAAAACTCTCAAACCCAACCTGCAAAGTGAAACATCAAAAGAAAAGGGTAACCTTTAATCAGAAAGTATTTACAAATCATACGTCCAGCAATATCCAAAGAATTTTCCAGCAGTAACCTGATTTTTAAAATGGGCAGAGAATCTGTTCTTTACGCTGCAATTTGAATAGTCCAAAGCTATCCCTGTGAATCTATAAACATCTTTTTTTTTTTCCTGATTTAATACAGGCCTGATACTCCATAAGTAGATTCTGTTTTGGTGTGATGCCCTCTCCCTTTTCCTTTACCCTCCATACTTTCTAAGTAAAGTATTGGTATATAAACCTTGATATATAGGAAAGTACATGCAGACTTACACATTATATGTTTGTATATAAACATTCAGACACAACCCATGAATGTACTTGCAAAGAATCATACTATGAATATAAGCCTTTATCACTTTATCCATTAGTCCTCATTCTAACCTCCTGGAATGCCTTCCCAGACACTGGCGGGAACCCAGTTCATTTTTCCAAGTGGTTCTGTAATAGTCCATAAAACTGGGCAAGGGATCTGAATAAGCACTTCTTCAAAAAGACACAGAGATACACACTGATGTTCCTCACTTATGAGGAAAATGCAAGTCAAAACCACACAGTTGTATTTTCCACCTTTGAGCACAGCGATTTTCAAAGAAAGTCTGTGTGGAAGTGAATCTTCTCAGTAGCAAAGTAAGACATACTGGATGAGAGCCGAATCAAGCAATCAAGTACAGGCAGACTCAACTGAGAAAAGGTTGGAGATACTGACTTGTCTACTAGATGTGCCAAATCAGAAGATGATCTGGAGAAGGAATTGCTGGCAGACTAGCGATCCAGGGGAAGAGGGCAGCCTGGCCCACCAATATGTATCAGTGTCTCCCACCCCCACAGGGATGAACGTACTAGCGGAGACCATAGCTACTGGGCTATGTACTGGGCACACTTGGAATACAACTCAAGCCTTGCTCAGAATCCACGCTCACCAAGTAACCAGCTGATCATAACCTGCTTTCCCAAGAATAGTTGCCTAAAGGATGAGAATAATTGACATATTTCTCATTGAAAATTAAAATATTTAAGTTTAAAAATATCAGTTACTGTGACTTCCCTCAAAATGGCATCATTCAGAGTACTAACATTCTAGATCTGTGAGGTGTTATTTTTTTAAAGCGTTTTTTTTTTTTTTTGCCACACCTGATGGTACTCAGGGCTTACTCCTTGCTCTGCTTGGGAGACCATGTGCAGAGTTGTGAATTCAAACCAGGGTCAGCTATGTGCAAGTCAAAAGCCTTAGTCTGTGAGCTTAAAAGAGCCTTACCAAAATCTGTAAGTCAATGCAACACTGAGAAACCCTCATTTAAGTGGCGACTGGATGACCTTCTCCAGGTTACACTCAATTCTGGTACTCTCAGATTTCTGGCTATGGTCTCCACTAGCCATCTGTGTACTGGGCACACTTGGAATCAGTCCACATTGTGATATGCTTTAAGTATAAACAAAACCCGCCCACAAAGACTCAGTGCCAAAAAAATCAAGTATCTTTGTATCTTTATATATATATGTATATATATATATATATTTTTTTTTTTTTTGCGGCGGTGGGGGGGTTCACATCCGGCAATGTCCAGAGGTTAATCCTGACTATGTGCTCAGGGATTACTCCTGAAGGTTCTCAGGGGACTATATGGTATGACAGAGACTGATCCTGGGTCAGCTGCATACAAGGCAAGTGCCGTACTTTCTATACAATTGCTCCGACCTTCAGTAATTATTTTTCATAAGGAACACCCTGAAATAATATTTAGGATATGCTGGAGTCAATTTTATTGATATTAGTCCCATCCTTCCCTCATAATATCCCATCTAATAGTAGATAATAGAAAATGGAAAGTCATTTTAACAGTGGCTTTGGTTATATTTCGATGGGGCACGACTCTACTGTGCAAATAATATTTCAGCACTGAAAGTAACTGGACTTGGGAAGACACAGGGTTACCTTTAGAACGCTAAAATCAATCAAGCAGAATTAAGCGACCATTAATATCTCACTTAAATGGGTCACTCTGACCAACACTTGCAAGAGGAGGTGCTGTCCTATGCAGATCCCAGCGGTGAGAACAACAGACGGTGGAGTCCAGAGGTCAGAGCTCAACACAGACCTGTACGCTAGTCAGGACTCAGCTGGAAGCATGGAGAACTGTGGCTTTTGCCAGAGAACTTCTTGTGCGTACAGCTCAGCCTGAATAAACATCTGCTGAGTGAATGCTAGAGCCAAGTTCAGTCTTGGACTTCATAGTAAGCTAAGCATTGTGATGTCCGAAGGATTGAGATGCAAGGTAAATACCAAAGATAAAAAGGTGAAAAGACAGATTTTTATTCATCAAAAGTTAACAGCAACAGGCACATATTAAAATGAGTATGGCAAAGCCTTTTACAAATGGCTTTACACTCAAGCTTTCTCCCAAGAAAATGGCTGTTGCAACAAACTGTAAACATAATTAATAAACAGTCTTTTACAGTAACAAGGGAAATACAATTGAACTAAAAAGAAAGCACCGGTTTCTCTCAAAACTAGATTACAGTTGTGCTTACTATACATAACACAAATTTAAAACAAATTACAAAAGTGGAATGTTTGAAGTTTAAAATTAGTCCTTAGATTTTTTTTTTTCCTAGAAAATCTGTTCACATCAAAAATCCCATCAAAGGGTAACGTTTCAGCAAAGGGAGGGACAAGAAAACAATGCACTTTTTTTTTTTTTCAAATCAAAACAAGAAGTTTGGTCACTTAGCTTTGTGCATAGTTTAAGGCAACTGGAGCGATCTGTTACAGCTTACCTACCTTCCCCTCCCCCAGAGTGGCTGCTCATTACATCACATTCGAAAATAATAAATAAAAGCTTACATTTCAGATCCTTTCCCACGAGGATAAATAGAACACATGCACAGTCACCCATGCGCCAGCATGCACGCAAACACACATCCACACATCCACACAACATCATCTCGCACACACTGCAGTGAAGGGGCCCGAGACCCCTTTGCTGTGAAGGACACCCTTCCCCATCCCGCTTTATTTCAGATTGGCAAATACCCTGAGCTGATTATGGTGTGTTAAACATTCCACCTTTTCTTGCATGTGCAGGTCAAGTGTACAGTAGTGAAAACAACATGCAATGTCTTCACTGCAGAATCATTAATACAGCTAGGACACTGGTATTCTTCCCCTCCCGCCCTGAAATGAACATCTAACAGTTTTTTAAAAATTGCATTGCCCAACAGCACTGGATGAAAGCGCGCGGGATTCTGTGATCAATGCTCAGTTTTCCAGTGCATGAAAGAAAACTATAGTGAAGGGGAGGCTTTGGTGGCATCCAAAGTAGAGAAAAGGCAAACCAGGGGAAAGAGCTGTGGTTTCAAAGTTTGATCTTTAAAATTCTCAGTGGTTCCTTCACAATCATGCTCCAAGGCTAATTTAGAACCAAGATTTCAGAGTTGATTTGTAAACATCGGGTCTTGCCAGAGGCGGCAGAGGCTGGGCACTTCACATTTCAGTTTACTCAGAGAGAACTTAGTGGAAGGTACAGAGATACGTGGCTGCGTCATCAGACTGGTTAAATTCCAAGAGATTTCTGCTGAGAGATTCAGTTCAAGTTTCATGGTTTGAAGAGTAAATGCTTTGAGAAGCATGTGGCACGCCGCGAAACTTCCTCGGTTACGCCTTTCTGTTCCCTTCGGCTGGGGCTTGCAGAGTCAAGGTTTCACACCAAAGCCAAGCACATATTGCTGTATGTTCACGTCTTAAAATCTCGAAAGTGAGTTCCAATGCTCTGACAGAGCAAATCTTGGAATAAATAATGCTGGCCTCATTCACCTGGAAACCTCGGCAGCCAAGACTGAAGTTCTCTCACCTCAAGACCCCATTTCACATTTCTTAGAACCTCCAGGAGGCAGTCTATCCCACTAACACGGGGTTATGATAACCGATTTTCCTGAGGTAATAACTGTGAGTTCAACGCAAATGTGGCATCGGTGTCTTCCCGACTACGTTGTTCTCTCTGCAGTCCCTTCCAGCTGGCTTTGTTCAGCCCCACATGTCCGAGCATTGTCTGGGATAGTCTGGTGTTGGAAAACCGGGCCCATTCTGTGAATAATGGCTCCACCAGGTAAGTCATAAAACCTTCAGAAAATAAGAGAGCAAAAGAGTATTAACCCATGTTCTGAAATTTTCAGACATTTACAGTGTTTATTCTTTTTAGACCTATATTTCAATGTTACCTGAATCTTAATTTTCAGAAGATTCGAAGGTGTGTATGAATGTGTAGATTCATCTCTCAAAAGAATCTAAGAAACTGTAACTTTAGGCTGAACTACAAAGCTCTTATAAACAAAACTGCATGATACTCAAACAACAGGAGACTCAGGTCAGTGAAAGACTTGAGAGTCCAGGGGGCTGGAGCAATAGCACAGCGGGTAGGATGTTTGCCTTGCATGTGGTCAACTATGGTTGATTCCCAGCATCCCATATGGTCCCCTGAGCACCACAGGGGTAATTCCTGAGTGCAGAACCAGGAGTAACCCCGGTGTACCGCCAGATGTGACCCAAAAAGCAAAAAAAGAAAAAGAAAAAAAGACTTGAGAGTCCAGAGATGAAACCTCAAATGTGTGGCCAGTGGCTTTATGACAAAAGGGCTCAGTTCATGAAGTGACACAAGGAGAGGAAAGCCACTCAACAGATGGTACTGTGAGGGGCCAGAGTACAGCAGCTTGCGAAGTCGCCAACCTGGATTTGATCCTCAGCATCTCAGATGGTCCTCCTGAGTACTGCCAGGAGTAATTCCTGAGTGTAGATTCAGGAGTAGCCCCTGAGCATCACTGGGTGTGACTCAAAAACCAACTAAATAAAGGAAAAAAAACCCAACCCCCCAAAAAATCCAATAGTACTGTGAATACAGGTTAGCCACATGCAAAAAAATGAAACTTAGACCCCTCTGTCACATATCCAAAGATTAATGCAAAATGGATTCAAGACTTTGATATCAAACTTATTTCTATAAAGCAGAGTGAGGGAAACATAGGTGGAACTCTGTAATATTTTGATTTCAATGAGATGACCCTGCTGGTTAAAAAAAAAAGGCAGAAATAAACAAATGGAACTACTCAGACTAAAGGGCTTAAAGAAATGAGGCCTTTCTAGACAACCTATTGAGAGAAAATACTTGCCCATCACACAGCAAAAGGTCAATGTTCAACAGGTAAGATGTCATGCTCAAAACTCACTGACAACAAAAATAACGACCCTATTAAAAATGGGGAGAGAAAATGAACAGTGTGTTCTTCAAAGGTGACATAAACAATGCCACCTGCATATGAAAAAATGTTCATTATCACTGAGTATGCAAATCAAAAAGACAACAAGTCTTTCTCACACTAGTGAATAAGTACTTGCTGGGATGCACTAAAAAAGCAACTTTCACACACTGTTGATGGGACATTTTCTTGATTCAGCCTCTTTGGAGAATGGTTTGGAAGCTTTTCAAAAAATTAAGAGCTTTCATATGATACTGCAGTTCCACTCCTAGGTGACTCCCCCCAAAGAAAGCACAAGATCATTAATCTAAATAGTCACATGCACACATATGTTCCGTGCAGCACTATTTACATTAGCCAAGATCTGGAAACAGTCCAAATACCCAATGACAGCCCGTGGATAAAGAAGTTGTGGCATTGTACTCAAGGGTGGGATGGGAGGGATGGGGGGTGGGAGGGATACTAGGATCCATGGTGGTGGGAAATGGGTACTGGTGGAGGGATGGGTATTTGATCATTGTGTAATTGAAACCCAAGCACAAAAACTTGTAAGTCTAACTGTACCTCATGATGTCTCACTAATAAAAAAAAAAAGTGTGATGGGCATCAGGAAAAAAAAAGTTATCAATAAGAAGAATTGTTGTGTCTTGAAAAAAAAAAGTTGTGGCATATATACACAAGAGAATAATACTGTATGAGAGGGTATGGAATACAACTATGAGCTATGAGAAAAGATGAAATCTTGCAGTTTGCTGCGATACGGATGAAAGTGGAGGAAGTCATGCTAAGTGAGTGTGTCAGAAAGATAAAGACAAACACCAGATGGTCTTGCTCATATGTTGAGTAAAGCAAGGGATTGGACAGTTCCCAATGGAAACAACCACAAGACACAGTCAATAGAACTGTGATCTGTGGGTCCTGGGAAAGGAATAGGAGGGAAGGATTTGGCGAAAAGGGTGGATGAATCCTGGTACTCTGGTGGTCAGCAGTGTGTAGCAGTACTACAAGTAGCACTGTAGCACTGTCCTCCTGTTGTTTGTTCATCAATTTGCTTGAGCGGGCACCATTAACATCTCTACTGTGAGATTTGCTGTTACTATTTTCGGCATATTGAATACACTACGGGGAGCTTGCCAGGCTCTGCCTTATGGGTGGGATACTCTTGGAAGCTTGCTGGGCTCTCCGAGAGGGATGAAGGAATCGAACCCAGGTTGGCCGCATGCAAAGCAAATGCCCTACCCACTGTGCTATCGCTCCAGCCCCACTACTACAAGTACAAAACAATATTGTTGGCATTGTAAATAATAACAATAATAATAATAATAATAAATACTGACAGTTTTACTGGTGGTACTATAAAAGATAAAATAAGGGGCTGGAGCAATAACATTGTGGGTAGGGCATTTGCCTTGCATGTGGCCCACCTGGGTTCAATTCCCAGCATCCCATATGGTCCCCGGAGCACTGCCAATGGGAATTCCTGAGTGCAGAGCCAGGAGAGACCCTTGTGCATCGCTGGGTGTGACTCCTTCCCCCCCCCACCAAAAGATAAAATAATAATAAAAATGACAGTATCAAAACTAAGCAAAAAGAATTTTCCACAAAGGTCAATAATGTAGTCTTACAGTCCTAGTTCAGAAAGTTAATACTGATTCTATGAAATTATTTTTTATGACCTCTGATGAAAATATAAGAGATTAAAAAAGAGAAAGGGTAAAATTTTTTAAGTTAAAAAGTAGGAATGAGAATAATGTTAATATTTTATTTTTAAAATATTTATCTCTTTCTTACAGATTTATCATTGGTTTAATCAGTAACTTATTATTGCATATAACTCTTCTTGACAAAGTTAAAATCAGCAACAATTTTTTTTCTTGTTCTGTTTTGGGGCCACACCTGGCGATGCTCAGGAGTTACTGCTGGTTCTGCACTCAGGAGTTACTCCTACTGATTCTTGGGGAACTATATGGGATGCCAGTAAATGCCCTACTCACTGGACTATTGCTCTGGCCCCAGCAATATTTTTCTAATAAGCTGACTTTAATTTTACGTATAGTTACCAATCTGGATGTTGGCAATAGACTCGGTCTGACGATCACAAAGTGGACTCACGCCCAAATGGTATTTTTTTTCAATATCACCTGGAAATTTAAAAAAAAGAGAATTACTAATGTGGAACATTCCTATTTAGTTAAATAATCAAAGTTTTCCCTAACCTATAAATTCCTTGGTAAAAAACAAGCATAACATTACTTTACAGTTACACAGCTGCCAAGCTGATAACCTATTTTATTTTATTTATTTTTATTTTTGTGCTCAGGGATCGCTACTGGTGGTGTCTGGGGTACCACATGCAGTGCGAGGACCACACCAGGGTCAGGAGCTGCAAGGGAACACCCGCTAAACTATCCCTCCCACCCCTGATAACCCATTTTATTTATTTTTGGGGCCACAACCAACAGTGCTCAAGGAAAATTCCTGTGTTCAGGGGACTCTATGCATGAAACCCAGGTGGGGGGAATGCAAAGGAGTTACCCTAGCTGTTGTATCTCTTTGGCCTCCTGATGACCTATTTTAAAAAGGGAAGAGGACATTTTTTTATCAGCTGGACCCCAAGTTTTCAATTTTGTCAACATTTTATTTTTTGATTTTTGGGTCACCTAAAGGTGCTCAGGGCTTTCTCCTGGCTCTGTGCTCAAGAATCATCCCTGGTAGGGCTTTGGGGACTATATGGTATGCCTGGAATCGAACCCAGATCAGCCACGTGCAAGGAAAGCATCCTATCCACAATACTTTCTCTCTGGCCCTCTGCCAACATTTTAATTCATTCTCTCTTTCTGTGTGTCTTTCTCTCTCTGCCTCTATCTCTCTTTCTCTCTCTCTCTCCCCCTCCCCCACCCCTTCCTTTCGTTCTGGGTCACACTCGGGAGTGCTCAGTGGTTACTTCTGGCTCTAAATTCAGGGAACCATATGAGGAGCTGGGGACTGAACCTGTGTGTAAGGCAAATGCCCTACCTGTTGTACTATCTCTCCAGCCCCCAAGTTGGTACTTAAAAACACATTAGAAACATAAAAGCATAAAATAGCTGGCAAGTTCCTTGACATCAATCTTGTTGATTTCTTAAATCAAACATCAGAAGCAAAGGTAACAACAACAAAAGTGGAACCACAACAGACTAAACACTTCTATGTACAATAAATTAAAAAACAACAACAATAACAATGTAGAAGCCTGAGAGAGAGTACAGGGGTCAAGCTGCCTGTCTTTGATGTGGCTGACCCCAGTTTGATCCTAGCACCATATATGGTCCCAGAACAGTGCCAAGGGTCACTTCTGAGCACAGAGCCAGGAGTAAGCTATGAGCACTGCTGAGTATGGCCCAAAACCAGAAAAGAAAAGGAAAGCTAGCAAATGGGAGAAAATATCTGCCAACTGTCTATCTGATAAAGGATTAATATTCAAAATATGCATAGAACGCAGACACTCAATATCCAAAAACAAAAATTTGAAAAAATGGCAGGAGTAAGCAGATTTTTCTAAAAGAAAATATAAAGATGGATACCAATATATGAAAAGGTGTTTATCATCACTAAGTGAAAAATGTAAAACCAAACCATAATAAGATACCATGCCATACCCACATAATGGCAATTAATGTGGCACAGACACAAGTCTTATTTAATTATATAAAAGAACCTGGCCATCGGTGATAACTCAAATGAACTACAAGAGAATCGTAACAAGAAAAAGAACTCTGTCAGACAGGAAAAGACAGACGGATGCTATACTACATGTGAACAATAATAATAACAACAAAACCAAACTCATAAATAGAGAACAAATCAGTGGTTGCCATAGGCATGGATGAGGAGTGAATAAAAATGGGCGAAGGTGGCTGAAATGTGCAAACTTCCAGTTATATGTATCTGGATGCAATGTCTAGTATGGTGATAGCTAATATTGTGATATTGTACATTTAACATTGCTAACTGAGCAGATCCTAAAAGCTTTCCTCAAGGGAAAGAACCATCATTCTTGGAGTCAGACAGCACAGCCGTTTAGGCACTTGCCTTGAACATGGCTGACCCAGGCACTACACATGATCCCTGAGCACTGCCAGGAACCAATCCTGAGCACAGAGCCAAGAACGGCCCGAGCATTGCCCCGTGTGGTCCAAATCAACAACCCCCTGAAAATCTGCAACTACATAAGATGATTCTAGTTAACTAGACTTATTGGAGGAATCATTTCCTAACAGACAAATCACCACGCAACATACTGGAAACTAATGCTATATATCAATTATATCTCTATAAAATGTCTTCTAAGTTCATGGGAATGCCCTGCATATATAACAAAGATGGATCAAGTTCAGGGTGATCTTTTTGTGCAGCAGAATTCTCAGTCCCTCTGTCTATTCATAAATGCATAAATAGCTGATCATCTCAAAAGAGAATTACTAATATTAAAAATGGGTGCTCAATTTGTACACTGTAGTTAAGTGAAATGTCACTTTAAAATATCAAACTTTACTTAAAAATATCAAACAAACTTTAATGCCAGATTCCTGTAGTGGCTGAGTTTTTTGTTCATATAGTGCTAACAATGAATAAACATTCACTCAACACTGTTCACTTGCCTTGATGGAAGAATTCCTCTGTTACTTTTTCACTCCACTGCTTGCTTAATTCCCAGGTCCGACATGGGTTACAAATATCAGCACATTTCAAAGCCATCTAACAACAAAAATATGTATTGAGAAAAAAAGGGTTAAATCTCAATCACATTAAATTTTAAAATACTTGTAGTAGTGTTGGAAAAGAACACCATAAAAAAAAATTCACCACCCCTGGGTACTGGTGGAGGGATGGGTACTCGATCATTGTATAACTGAAACCCAAGCACAAAAATTTGTAAGTCTACAACTGTACCTCATGGTGTTTCACTAATAAAAATTTAAAAAAATATTAAAAAAAATTCACCACCCCTTCTATTTATTTTATGATGCTACTGGTTCTACCAAAGATATCTGCAGAAATGTTAATACAGACTCTCATCCTACTCCCCTACCGGATGTGACCGAGAATACCGAAGCAGCAACTACACAACTGGAATAGTACTAACAAAGACATGCAGTTCTCTCCTCTCTTTTTTTCAGAAGACCTTATTAAAAATAAAATACTTAAAAAAAAATTCAATCACCATTAGATACACAGTTACAAAGATGTTCATGATTGAGTTTCAGCTGCACAATGTTTGAGCTCCCATCCCCTTCACTAGTGCCCACACCCATCCACCAATGTCCCCAGTTTCCTTCCTGATGCCCTGAAATGCTGTTTGTTGACTGGCAGCCTAATCACATAAAGATTACTTCCTGTTACAAAATCGGAGTATGAAAAACAAAACTGATAATGCTCTCCTAGGGAGCAGATTTACGAGTGACTGCTTCTGTAGAATGCTTCATCAAGTGAAAGGAAATGCCCCTTTTCCTTTAACTTCTCCTAAAATTATACTAGAATATTTCATCTTTAGAGGAATAGTGCCAAGATTCTCTCAAGAAGTAGTCCCTGTTTTACCTGTAAAACCAAATGACGGTGTCTGGCGTCGTCTAGGTGTAAATCACCCCTATCCAAATGGCTCCGAAACAATGACAGATACTCATTCTGGCGACTGATGTCAGTGGCTAATATCAAAGCACCTATCTGAGTTTCCATTTGTTGCCTGGAATGAGAAATAATAGAGAGAAAATGCAAGACTTTTACTTCTAAATTTTTTCTTTATGTCCAGAAAGTTTTAGAGTCTTAAGATATTCATATTGGCAAGTAACCTGTTAAACTGGCACCAAAATGAATTTTAAAAGAACACATCAAAAAACTACTAAACCAAAAACAAAACCAACAGGGTTCATAAGAAACCACCAATAGGCAAACATTATAAAAAAAAAGTGTTTTATCTTGCCAAGGTAGAATTACTTGCTCAAAAAACAAAGAAATAAACAAAACATTAGGGATGTGCAGATAGCGCAAGTATGACAGTGTGAGCCCCTGTCTTGGGTCCCTGCCACCACAGGGCCCTCTGCCCTTGTGCAGCAAATCTATGTATAACTGTGGCACCCCCCAAGCTGAGAGTCATGAGGCCCTCACAGTTGAGTATCCCAGGAAATGGCTCCACAGGCATCACTGGGTGTAGCTAATAAATAATAAAAAACAGGTGTGTAGGGGCTGGGGAGACAGTACAGTGGGTAAGGTGCTTGCCCTGTATGGGAACAACCTGCCTTCATCCTCCACAAAGGATAAGGACCCCTGAGCCCCGCCACGAGTGCTGCTGAGTGCAGAGCCAGGAAAAAGCCCTGAACACCACTGCGTGAGAATCTGGTTTCTTTATTTCCTGACTGACATCTGAAAAGAGGAAGGAAAGTTCAAATAGCGAGACTAACCCACTTAACAAATACATCCTATAGATTTTCTTTTTCAGTGCCAGGGGCTGAAACCAGGGTCCCAGGCATGGAGAGCACATACCCTACAAACTGAGCTAGTGACTCCTGAAAAAACTCCCCCCAAATCTAGCAAAACTTAAATTCTACTTTCAATGTCCAAATAAAAAACTAACTATACAAATGTCCGATTTGAGGGTGTGAAAATAACATGTTAACATAATAACAATTAGCATCTTTTAAGTCAGTAACAAGTCAAATGAAAAAATTCCTCACTTTTGTTTAAATGGGGCATAGCAAATAGTATCTTTTATGCACTGTAGCACTGTCTTCCCGTTGGTCATCGATTTGCTCAAGCGGGCCCAGTAACGTCTCCATTGTGAGACTTGTTACTATGGTTGGCATATAGAATACGTCACATTTAGCTTGCCAGGCTTTGCTGTGTGGGCGAGATACTCTTGGTAGCTTGCAGGGCTCTCCGAGAGGGGCAGAAGAATTGAACTCAGGTTGGCCAGGTCGGCCGCATGCAGGGCAAATGCCCTACCTGCTGTGCTATCGCTTCAGGCCCCCCTTGTGTGTGGCTAGTCCGAAAGTAGTGAGTGGACGCAAGGTCAACCTAAAGTCAACCTGCAGAAAACTATAAACTAGTATCTTTTATAATGATCAACAAAGAACTATACCATCAGATTAAAAAGCTCACAATATTGAATATGAATTAAATGAAAAAACAGAAAAGAAAGCTCTATGTAGTAATAATCTTTACTTTGTTTTTACTTTTACCAAATCTAGTAAGATAGCAGGGCTAATCAATTTAATTCAAAATATCAAAAAAAGGAGAACGTATCAAAAAGCATTTGTTTACCTTAATCAAGAAAAGGTAGATTATATGTACAATCACTGGCTTAAGCAATATCTATATTTGTACTACAACAATAAGCAATTTTACTTATCAGAAGTATTGCCATAACTCCAAACTTTGTCTTTGAATAAAGATTTTTTTTTTTTTGCTTTTTGGATCACACCCAGCAATGCTCAGGGGTTACTCCTGGCTCTGCACTCAGGAATTACTCCTGGCGGTGCTTGGGGGACCATAAGGGATGCTGGGAATCGTACCCGGGTCAGACACGTGCAAGGCAAACGCCCTACCCGCTGTGCTATTGCTCCAGCCCCTGAATAAAGATTTTTAAGAACATGTAATAAAAGTCCAACTTTTTAAATGCTCATTATACAAACACAAAAGGCTTTTTTGTAATTTTTAATTATGAAAGGGAAAAATGAAAGAATAACTTAAATTTTAATACCCAAACATATTTTATGCCTCATCATTTTTCAAAATTACATCTACTTACACAGTGTATTTTTTTTAAATTAGAACACTGATTGACAAAGTTGTCATAATATAGGTTGTTTCAGGTGTTCAATGTTCCGACACCAATCCCACCATCAGTGTGACCTTGCCTCCACGACCTTTCCTCCACCAACCTACCAACATCCCTATCCCCCCACCAGCATGCCTCCTTAGCAGGCATAAACAAACTTATCCCATATTGCTTGTTACAACAAATGGAAAATAGAATTATCAGAAAAAAGATCAATAAAATTCAATTTGTGATGTCGTATCTTGCGATGCTGTTACTAATGTCATCGAGGGTTTACTGAGTTGGCTGAAGTTGGTTGGGTGTCTTCACTCACTAAGCTTGGTGGGCTTCTATACAACTTTTCAAGGAGCTGTGGACCTTGCCGCTTATATGGCGGAAAAGGTCAGATGCCGCAGCTGCTGGGGCTATTGGGAGGGAAGGAAATATGCCACCTCCGTTCTGAGAACATGACAATTTTCAGCCTCGAGATCATTCTACCTGGACAATATGGCAGCTTGGTGGCTTTTAGAGGTTCAGTTCTCACAGCTTTCTTTTTTTTTTAAATTTTTTTATTTATTTATATTTTTACAGTTGTAGATTTACAATTTTTTTTGTGCTTGGGTTTCAATTATACAATGATCAGATACCCATCCCTCCACCAGTGCCCGTTTTTCACCACCATGGATAATATCCCTCCCACCCCCATCCCCCCATCCCCCCCTGCCTCTGTGGCAGGGCAATCCCCTCTCACAGCTTTCTTAAGTGTGTGCATCTTCTCTTCGTGAGGCATTAAAAAAAAAGCTTTGTGGACCAGGGACTTAAAACAACCACCAGCCTGCTGGGCTCATTTACATCAATATTTATAGGTCACTCTTGGTGGTGCTCAGGTACTCTGGGCTCTGTACTCAAGATCCCTCCTGGCGGGGCCCTGGGGACTGGGTATGTGGGGCTGGGAATCAAACCCAGACTGTCCCCAAGGAGGGCAAGCATCTTATCAGCTACAAAATGTCTCTGGTCCTTTCACTGTTTCTTATTATGCTTTCAAATGACACACGCAATTTCAAATAGTAAATCATCTTTTCTAATAATTAGTATTTTCTGTTCTTACCATCCATCATCTTATCCTAACTCCAGATGCTGCTATTGAGGTTATAAAGCATTCTAATTTCCATATTTGAGAATTTCCAAAAACAGATTTTTAAAAACCATCACTAATATGAAATAAATTTGTTATATGCCCGCCAAAAGGGCAAGCTGGGCATTGAGATGGAACCTGGGGACACTGGAGGGAGGGGGACACTGGAGGCCAAATAGATATTGGAATACTGTATGCCCAAAATAACTCTATGCACAACTTTGCAAATCACAGTGTCTTAATAAAAATTAAAAGAAAAAATCTATTATGATACAAAATGTTTGCTTTCTATCCAATTTACCTCCATATGTGGGAATTAAAATGTTGGTGAGCGTAAATTGAAAATATGTAACACCTATTTATATAGACAGGCAAGATTTTACATTCGGCATTTGGAATGAATTTATTGTTTCTGTTTTTTTAAAAAAATTTTTTTATTAGTGAAACACCATGAGGCACAGTTGTAGACTTACAAATTTTTGTGCTTGGGTTTCAGTTATACAATGATCAAGTACCCATCCCTCCACCAGTGCCCATTTCCCACCACCACAGGTCCCAGTATCCCTCCCACCCCCCATCCCCCAATCCCACCCTGCCTCTGTGGCAGGGCATTCCCTTTTGTTCTTGGAGTGAATTTATTATTGTTATTTTGTTCTGGGGTCACACCGAGTGGTACTCAGGGCTTACTCCGGGCTCTATACTTAGGAATGATCCCTGGCCGTCAGGGGAACATGCAAAACTAAGATGCAAACTAGAGTTGGTAACATGCAAGGCAAGTGCCTTAATTGCTTAATCCCTGAACTATCTCTCCAGACCTTTGGAGTGAATGTTCCAGTACTCAGATCTATTGAAAATCTTTTGTAAAACTTCACTAGAAAGTAGTGACTGTGCTGCACGTTTAAATTTCCAATATTTTGACATAAGCTTGTTCTATATTTCTGGAATACCTGGATATAGTAACATAATTTTAATTTTTTTTATGGGTTTTACTCTGGGGGCAGGTGGCCACACTCTGCATTGCTTGGAAGGATCGAACATATGTGGTGCTGGGGATAGAACCTGTGTTGGTTACATGTGCAAGGCAAGTGCCCTATCTGTTGTAAATCTCCCCAGCCCTGTAACAATTTTTAAGTTTTGACAATTTCTTTGAGGGCTTAAATTTCCATCATCTATAACAGCTGAAAGTCTGTTTTAAACAACTTACCTTCTTTCTATTGGCATGTGTGAGAATAAACCAGATTCTCTCAATAATCCCACTGCAGATCTCCAGTGGTGATTCTCCAGTACTGAGGTATTCTACCAAAGAGAAAAAAAAAAGTATTTCTAAATTATTCAGTAGTCAGTTTCTTTCTGCACATAAAGTATTATTTGTAAATAATAACCTGGTTAGATTTAAGTGTTAAAATTTCGGAATTTCAAAATCACATGGCCCTACTGCAGCCAAGCGACATCATATGTTATTCATAACCAGCAATAGAACACAAATTGTCTACTGTTGCCTTTTCGGCAGATTTGAGTGTTGGGGTAAAATCTCAAATAGTAATGGTGGGTCTGGTGTCAAAATATTGAATGTGATCAAAGTAGAGAGAGAGTAATGTGGAAATCATCTCCCCCACAGGTAGGGGGTGGGAGTAGGATGGGGGTATACTGGGGTTTGGTGGAGAATGGGCACTGGTGAAGGTATGGGTGTTTCATTGTATGACCGAGACTGAAAACTCTGTAACTGCTCTCATGGTGATTCAATAAATAAAATTATAAAAAATTTAAAAAATAATAACCTGATTAAAAATCTAGTACTCTTGAAGAATTTTGTCAGTGTTCCTACTTAGACTTCTTTTTCTTTTTTAATGGCCATAGGTCATTTATTCTGAAAGCTTAATGGACATAGAAATAGATGTGATAAATGATATGAGTTATCAATCACTTAGACTTTAAAACAAGAAACATTTTCTAGAATGAAACACCATCACATTCTAGTAAGTTTGCACTAACCTTGTATAAAGTTGCCAGGTAATGGTTAGTTTTAATAAGAAAAGGTTGATTGACACCTGGGTGATCCAGATCGTGAGTGGCAGCTGCAATTAAGCTCAGCAAGACATCCCAAGGAGTTACTGAATTGGCAAGCTAAAGTAAAAAAACAGAGTGAGTTTGAAATAAACACTGTGCCAACACAACAGTTTTGCATGAGCCCTAAATGGCAGCGGCTACAGTGTCTTTCTTTTTTGTGTTTTGGGGGGTTATCTTCCCTCCTTCCCTCTCTCCCTCCCTCCCTTTTGATTTTTGTACCACACCCAACAGCCAGTGATGCTCAGGGGTTACTCCTGCCTCTGTATTCAGAAATTATTCCTGGGGGCGCTTGGGGACCATACAGGATGCTGGGGATCGAACAGTGTACAAGGCCAGTCACAACCTGCTGTGCTCTCTCTGACCTCAGCTTACTTTCCAGCCTCACATCTGGCCAAAACTAATATTCTAGTAGAGAAGAGTTTAGACTACTTTATGCAATTCTCTAAGAGACATCTGTATTTCATTGTCATGCAAATGCATTAACTCAACATATCCAAAATGAAACTCTTTAGCTACCAGCTCAACATGGCCAAATTGCTCATTTTTCTATATTCCTCCTCTTGTGGAAGACTTTCCTCTTCTCAGAAGTCCAGTTCATTCTTCATGAACTGCTATATCTACTTCAGTGCCCCAATGCACTCAGACACCACATCCTACCCACTCACGTTCCCAAGAGACCTTATTTCACCATCCACTTCTCTCCTTCCCCAAGGGGAACTGCCTAGCTAAGGCTCTTAATACTTTCATGGAGCACTGACATAGCTCCTGATAGATAATCAAATTTCTGAACTTGGTCTGACTTACTCTTATCCATGACCCAGAGGCTGTACCTGACTGTGCTAAGGGCTTATTCTCCGAGTGGGATGCCAGGGGTCCATACTGTGGTGCTGGTAATTGAACCCAGCTTTGCAGCACACAAGGCAAACATCCTACCTGCTATACTGCCATTCTGGCTTCTACTAGAATTTCAATTTTTTTGGCACTTGCTCCCCTTCTGTAGAGCCTTCTGAGGCTCTAAGAGCTCATAGAGCTCGCAGAGCCCACTTGGAGCCCAGTGAAATGCCTAGCACAATATTTGAGATTTCTATCAGGTTTTTGCTTGGATTCCCACAACCACTGTCAATGATCACTGCAATTTTCCAGCCAGGGCGCTTACAGACATAGCCACATCTAGAAACCTGATCCAGCTAGATCCCATTCTTGTGAAGAAAGCCTTTGGTTGTGAGTCAAATCAGACTCAAGCCTAAAGAAATATACATAAAAGAAAATCTAAGGATTCTTCCTAAAACATCAACAACTTACCTTAGGTTCTTTTAAGTAACAATGCATGGCCTGAGTAACATCTGCAGCGTGGACTGCATTGTGGTAAGGGTTCTGGCTATGATAATCTTCTTGAATCATAACTGCAGCAAAGGAAAATAAGAACTCAAATTAAACTACAAATAGGAGGCATGTGTAAGCATGAAAACTGGGATAGCTATGAGTTCTCCACTCACACCTTTCACATGGCTATTATATGACCGCTCAGACTCAAAGATATGCTGTATCTTCTAACCCACATATAAAACTCTCTGGATTCCTCCCCACCCTTCTACTCAGGACTCTGAGCCTTCAACAGCTTTCCTGCGAGAAGTGCAGCTCATGTCCGCCTGCCTGGTTCTGCCATGGGCAAGCAGCAGCAGCAGCAGCAGCAGCAGCAACGACGCTAAGCTGGTGCTAAGCCCACATGCCAGGGCATCCCACTTCATTTTTATAACCTAGGCACCACTCCTGGAACAAAGTCAGAATATTTCTGTCTGGATCTTAATGTGCCATGGAACCAACATGTGCTGCCTCCTTTGGATTCAATAAAAGGCAGGCAGAGATGAGCCAGCTGAGGTTCCCACCAGGGTCACCTGTTAGCAAATGCTGGTGCACAAACAGGCTCAGGCAGAGAGACCTAGCCTTCAGCAACGGCACACACTCAGGTGCTGGACAGTTACGTGCCACTTAAGTCATTCAATCTGGGAGTGATTGGTTGTTGAGCGTAATGATATAAAATATACAAGTTTTTACACAAAATGTTATTACTATTAGATGAATTAGAACTACTTACCTAAAAATCGACGAAGTTTCATCATATCTAAATGGAAGTATTCAATTAATCCATGAAGACTAAATAGGTGAAAGGTTAAACTTACTAGACTATTTCCTAAAAAGAAAGAAGGAATATTAGTACAAAATACAAGCTAACATTGCATTGTGCTTTCAAATACGGACTTTGAATATACATACGGAGTGCTAATTTCTACTTTTAAAGCTATTTAAAAATTTGCATATTCTTGGGCTGGGGATGTGGCTCAATAATGAAGAATATGTCTTGCATGTATGAAACCTGGGTTTGAGTTCAGGTACCATCTCATCTTTTTTTTTTCCCCCATTCTAAAAAACAACAACAAAAAAGCTTTAATTTGTTATAGCCAATGGACTAGGACACAAGCATGTTTTAATAGAGCAAATCTTTTTAATGACTCCAAAAATCATTTAAAATCTGTTAATAGAAAATCTTAAATTTTCTATCTGGGTAAGTTACTTCAGTTTTCCAAAGTATCGAAGACAAGTTTGTACTTAACTTTCTCCTATTCTCACCTTTACCACTTTACTTTAAATAAAGGTGATGGGTTCAGGTAGTACAATGGGTAAGGTGGTTGTCTTACATGCAGTTGACCTGGGCTCAATCCTTGGCCCCCAATATGGTCTCTTGAGTTCTGCCTGGAGTGATCCCTGAGTCCAGAGCCAGGAAAAACCCCTGAGGACTTCCAGGTGTGGCCAAAAACCAAACCAAACAAACAAATAAAATAATAACCAAGGTTAGCCCAGAGCAAATGTTCTTGGCTAAAACTTTAGGTGAACATTATTTATGCAGGATTAGGAAGGATCATTTAAGATCAAAACTCAGAAATCAATCATTTATATTTCCTATACTTGGAGCAGAAAACTTGGTAATCATTGGAAGCAGGCACAGAATCATACATCAGCCCACTAGATAATTTATCAATGCTCCAATTCCCTGAGTCAAATATTATTTCCTCTTTCCCTATACTGTTTCAATACATGCCAGCATCAGATGTGTTCTAGATTCCCTCATCTTCGAGCAACCATGAATCCTTGACTCTCCTGGTCCCTTTAGTTGTAACCCCTGTCAGTTCCCTTACATAATTAAGTCTTCTGAAAGAGCTGCCATTACTATCCCCATCTTCGTGTCCTCGGCTAGAGTCAAGTATGGAAACTGGATTTGAAAAACTACCATTTTCATTTCATAATGTCTCAAAGTTTTATACACTTCCTCTACAGGAAACATTAACAGTTAAATTATTTATTTTTGTTTTCATTTATTTTTATTTTTTTGGGGACTACACCTAATGTTGCTCTGGGCTTACTCCTTGCTCTGTGCTCAGGAATTACTCCTGGTAGCGCTTAGGTTCAGACATGGATTGGGTGCATGCAAGGCAAGTGTGTTCCCCGCTGTACTTTTACTGTGACCCCTGACTATATTTTACAGGAGTGTGTACTCATAAATCCTCACAGTATTCAGACATTCACAAAACACGAACATGAGTCTAGAATTCTCTAAAGATTCTCTAAAGAGTTCTCTATGATTCATTTTTATTTATTTTGCTTTTCAGGTCACACCTGGAGATGCTCAGGAGTTACTCCTGGATTTGCACTCAGGAATCACTCCTGGCAGTGCTCAGGGGACCATATGGGATGCTGGGAATCGAACCCTGGTCAGCCGCATGCAAGGCAAACGCCCTACCCCCTACCCCCTACCTCCAGCCGCTATGATTCTTGAACATGTACAAAATGCTTACACAAAGCTAAACATGGCAGAAAGCTATTGATAAATATTGGATGATTTCACCCATTTGCACAATATAAAGAAATAAAATTGACAAGCATATAAAACAATATAGAATATAAATCAGTGAATGTTCATCTACAAATAACATAACTTCAATTATTTGAGGGGAAGAGGAGCAGAAGAAAGAGTGGAGGGGCTGGAAGAAAAAATAGTGGACTTTATTGTTTTCTATTTACTAAAAGCAAAAAAAAATTCCATTTGAAGCCTGAGATGTAGAACACCAAGTAGGGTGTTCATCTTGCATGCAGCAGGCCTGAGTTTGATTTCTGGCATCCCAGATGGTATACCAAGCGCTACTAACCCTCGAGCATTGCTGGGTATGATCACCAAAAAACAAAAACAAAAACAAACCCTCCTTTATTGGGAACTACACTATGCAGAATCTGGAGAGCATGAAGGTCCTCTAAGAACATCAGGTCATCCAATGTTGTTTCAGTGTAATACTGATGAGAAAAATTCCTGCCTGACAATGGATTAAACCATTTTATCAGAAGACCTGCTTTTTCACTATGTCTTTGCAATTAAAGTAAAACAGAAAAAGTGAAAAATGTTTCCCAAAAGGAATTCTATTCCTTAAGAGAATAAAGAAACATGAATCCACCCCAAAACAAAACTAAAAAGGGGCTAAAATAGCTAGAATCATGTATAGCATTTTTTCATACCATCTGTACTCTAGAGATTCTGAAACGCTTTCCTAAAGCGTTTGAAGTTCTTTCCTACCTCACTATGGATTTGATTAGAATATGCTGAATCTCAAATGTTCAGAGAAACAAAAGCTTAAAAGCCAATATAATGCTGGATGAAAGGATATCTCTCAAAAGATCGTTCGTCTACTACATATTGGTAGCTATCAAAACTGGACTAGAATGTTACTATGAACCGCCACAGAATTTAAAAAATGAAAAATCAGTTGCATACCTTTGAATTATTATCTACAATAACATTAATGAGGGGTGGCTAAATGACTATATTCTTAGAGTCATAATCGAAAAACAAAATTCTCAGAATAATCCTGACTTTAGATCAGTCACTAAAGAGGCAAACGATGAGGCTCAGCCAGCAGAGGGCTCACAACCTCAGTAAATAAAAGCTACGAGCCTCTGCTGACTGTGTGTAAAGGCATAACATAGCAAGAATACATTAACTTGGAGTAAGTCAAATTCTTCACTTACCATTTGTTAGTCTATCAAATAGAAAGATATCAAAATTCCAATTTCCAACTTTTTCCAGCATACACTGAAATAAAAATCAAACATATCTACTGTAATTTTATTTCAATAACCTTTTCTTTTACAAAGAATCCACAAAGAAGTTGATAAAAATGGACTGTGATTTACTTTAAGAAGCGTCACTTGCCTTATAATCAAGATCTCTTAAAGAAAAAAAGTCCAAAAGGATAAGCTGTATTTAAAAAGCAAATAATTTATTTTTCAATTAATAACTATCCAGGTGTTTCAAGTTATACTTAAGAGTTCCATAAAACTTCAAGAATCCGAAAACAAGTTAATGACTGTCATTGAAATACGGTTCATACTTTGTACAGTCTAGATTTTTTAAGGAAAAATAAGTCTTAGATCTGTTATGCAGCCCAGTAGCATGAGACCTGGGTTCAATCCTGATACCACACACACAGAACAAGGTTATGGTCAAGAAAGATAGTAAAGAAGGTAAGGTGCTTGCATTGCAGGGTTCGACCTGGGTTCAATTCCCCACAGCAACCAGGCTCAGTATGGCCCTAAAATCAAAGCAACCAAACGTTAAGCAGTATCTTCCAGGAATTGTGAAAAGTGCCATTTTCACTTACACCGATCAACATCAGGCAAAGAATTTCTCTCTTACTTGTGCAGCACAGGAAATCAAAACCAGGGTGGAAGATCAAACCTGGGTTGGTCACACACAAGGTAAGTAACTTCCCTGCTGTACTTCCCAGCCCCTCAAAGATTTGCTTTCAATCCTCTTACTGATAGGCAAATAGACAAAAAGTTATCAACCTTGCTCAAAAAAATTATAGTGCTGGGGTCTTCCAGTTTGATTCTGAAAGCAAAACACTTGACATCTAAACTACCTAGTCTGTATTACTTAAAACATACTCATTTCATGGAAAAAAATATGCAGCCATTTAAAATTTAGTCCCAACTTGTGGCTACTTTTTAATTCATAAAGTATTCTTATAAAACAATAGTGTACTACATTAACTTTAGGCATGTGTATTTATCTCAGAAAATAAACCCACAGTGATTCTTAATACAAAGTGATTACATATTTGCATCATATATTCATAACTTAAAATCTCTGGGTACTTTACTTCCAATAAAATATTTTGCATAAAAATTCATTGCTGCATACATTTATAAACTGACATGAACAATACTAAGATATTAATACAGACTAATTATGATAATACTAACATTTATGTACAGATCAATATTCTCATCTAAAGAACAGACTTGTGGACCTTCTTTAAATTAAAAGAAAGCATGAACACTTTTTCATTAATTTCTTTGATCAAACAGAAAAGCAATTTTTTTAGCTTAATATAATCATAAAGGAACCACAGCCTGATCTACACAGACCTACAAAGTCTGGCAGTCTTTATTCTTAAATAAAAGTATAATAGAGAGTCAAGATTATTACAAATTCTTTCCCTCCCCCCTACCCCCCAGCATGCCTACAAATTCTTATTTGGTCAAAAACAAGGTTTTCTTACACTTCACCTTCATTAAGACATTTAATACTATATTAAAAAACGGTGCTCACATTCACCAGGATTAAGTCTTTGAACTATCTCCTTGATACAAGAGACAATAAGACAACCATTTAACTGCAAATCAGACTAAATTCCTATGCTGGCTTTACTGCTAATCAACTGGGTGAGCTCAAATAAATTCTTTTTTACTCTCAGGTCATAGTTCCCTTATCTGTAGAACATAAAAATTAGAATTTACCCGTCTTTTGAACTCTAAAGATATAAATTACTTTATTTTGGGTAATCGAAATAAAGTAATTTGTACTTTATTTGTACCTTGTAGCAAACGTACATTAGCTTTACATTCCAGAATACAGAAATATGGAATACAGGGTTTTAGACTAGCCAGAAATAACTAGTGAATTATCTGAAATCAAACTTTTTCTAGACTTCTTGGTCACCATAAGGTTTTTTGGTTTTTAATATAATTTTCTTTATAAAAAGTTGTCTGAAAAGGTGTGTTGCTGTTACTCTTATCTTTTGTCCCACTATTATCTTAGCTAATGGTAACAGAAGAATGTCTTGGACAAAATATCAATTCAGCAGGTTACTCCAATTTTGACAGACCAAACTTTTTTTGTTTTGTTTTGGGGCCGTCCCTGGTGCTCCCGGATTCCTCCTGGCCCTGCACTCAAGGATCATTCCTGGCAGGCTCACCAGGGGTGCTGGGGACTGAACCCAGGCCAGCTGCTTGCCAAAGCAAGCACCCTTCCCACTCTACTATCGCTTGGCCCCAGACAGTCCCAATGTTAAAGGTAACCCATAATACTCATTTCCGTGTTCAGATACTCTGAATTATCTTATTGTTGAAATCCTCTACTGAGCTACTTATTATCTGATGTTAAAACAAAAACATTTTCATTAGTTACTTCAGAAATGATGCTTTCTCTCTAATACCTAAATAAGAAATGAACAGTTATTCTAAAGGAAAAACTAGAAAAGTGGGCCAACTGATTTTCACACAAAGTAAAAAAGGCCCTATAAATCAAGTATGAAAAAAGGCTCCACTGAGTTCATGGAAATAAGAAAAAATTTGAGCCAATTCTACACACCTTAGCTTGTCCATTATAGTCATCATCTAAGATGTTTAGAGAACTTGAAACCGTGGTGCCACGAAAGAAGCGTGAAGATCTAAGATACCGCTGGAAACTTAGTAACCTTCTTATATTCCGAGCAGACACAGAAACTTCAATTTCAGATTGAGCTGAAATAAAAGATGAGTATAGCAAATTAAAAACTGCAGATAAACAATCTTTGTAACACTGTTTTTATTCTACATAGTGAATCATTATACCACATTTCTAAGAGATAAGGTACTTTAATTATATTTATTGATTGATTGATTTTTGGCCTTTAGGGTCACACCCAGCGATGCTCAATGTCCTGGCTCTGCCCTCAGGAATCACTCCTGGCAGTGCTCAGGGACCATCTGGGATACCAGGGATTGAACCTGGGTTGGCCATGTGTAAGGCACTGTACTATCCACTGTACTATCACTTGGGCCCCTTTATTTTTATTTTTAATTAAATAACAAGAATAAATGGGTCCACAACAAGTAAATGATACTTGGAGGGCTCACTCAGGATGGGAGATGTGTGCTGAAAGTATACTATGGACCAAACATAATGACCACTTCGTACATGTATTGCAAACCATAACACCCAAAAGAAGAAACAGAGTAAAAGAGAATATGTCTGCCACAGAGGCAGGGGGTTATGGGGAGGCTGAGGGGAGGGATACTGGGAACACTGGTGATAGAGAATAGGCACTGGTGGAAGGATGGGTACTTGAGGCTGCTAAAATCTCAGGGCTGGGAGGAAGAGACATTACTGGCGCCCACTCAAGTAACTCAATGATCAACGGGATGACAGTGATATTATTAATAATTTTAATTATTAATTATATTAATAATTATTCAGCTAAAATACCACGAAATCGTCACTTTTGAGGACAGTGATAGTACAGTGGGAAGGGCACATGCCTTGCATGTGGCTGACACCAAGTTCAATCCCCAGCACCCCACAGGGTCCCCTGAGCACCATCAGGAATGATAACTGAGCACAAGCCCTGAGCATGGCCTGGGGTGGCCCCCCAAACATAACAAAACAAGTGAACTAATGAGAATACTAATGAGATGCCCACGAGTAGAAAGCTGGGGTGTTCTGCTGTCTGGAGTCCCTGGTAGTGCAGCAGTGTGGTGACCTCTGGAGGACTGCAGTCAGATGTGTGTGACACCCCCCACCCCGGCGAGCCGGCACCTAAAGACGTCTGAGCACCAAGGCCAGGATTTAACCCTGAGAAGCACATGTGTAAGCAGCACAAAATGACCATCCAGCAAGCTGTCCAGCCAGAAATCGAACAAGCACCACCATCAAGGAAGTTCAACTGCTGCTGAGCACGTGTGCAAGAAGGTCCGCGCATGAGCACCCGGCTCTTCAGAAAAGGAACATGGGGCAGGGGGAATTTTAAAGAGTCATTGTAATTGAATGGTCTGAATGCTCCAATTAAGTTTGACAAAGTTGTTTAAAGGACCCAGGTTACCTTTGAATATAGAATGTATATTTCAACAAACCCCAAAAGTCAAAGGTATACAGGAAAGTATGGCCCACACGTGTAAAAAATTGAAGAGGTTTACAGAAACCATTCCTAGTGGATAAAACAAGAATATAGAATATCAAGCACTTGCATGACACGTGTGAATCCCTGGGTTTGATCTGCAGCACTATCAAAAAAAAAAAAAAGAAAAGAAAGGTCCACTGAGTTCTTAATGGGGTGAGGTCGGGGGAAGGCAGGAAGCCTTCAGAGCTCACCCCGCAAATAGCTCTCTCCTGCTTCTGCTTCTTCCAAATACATCTACAAGTGCTCTACACCAGCCTGTTCGGGGCTGCACCCAATCCTGTCCAACCCCAACCTCGTGCTAAGGCTCACTAAAGCTCACTGAGATTTTGAGATTCTAGGATCAAGAACACTTGATCTAGGAGATTAAGGGTCAATTATAATTAATATCATTAGAATTCAGAGTCCAAGGTCAATTATACTTGTAATTAATATTTTCTTGAATTGAACTTTTTATTAGAACAAAATGTCCTATGTTATCTCTTGTAACTTTCTCACTAAGTCTCCTTTGTCTGAAAATATAGCGACCCTATCTCGATCTCCTATTAAGTATGCAGAGTATCATTTCCATCCTATTTCTTTTTTTTAATGTTTATCATCCCATTGCTTTCAACCTCTTTGTATTTATATATTTAAAGCAAGTCTCTTTATACTGTATAAAGAGACCGTTTTTCAAAGCCCAGTCTGCCAATCTCTGCCACTGAAATGTGATTATTAAGAAGGGCTAGGACTATGGTTCAGTGGTAGAGCACTTGTATGGCAAGTGGGAAGCCCTGGGTTTGATCCAAAGCACCACCAAGGAAAAAAAAGCTTCTCTAGTTTTTGTATATGTCATGTGATTTTTGTTCCCTGTTTTGCTTCTCAGACTAGATACTTTCAATGTTCTTACCTTCATGTTTACCAATCCTTTCCTCTGCCTGCTCAAGTATGCTTCTAGACGATGCTTGATTTCAGTTATTAATGTATTATTATTGCTCCAGAACTTTAGTTTCCTCTTATAATTTCTATACCTACTGAGACTGAATATGTATAACATTATCCCTGGTTTCCTTTGGCTCTCTGGCCATTGTTTTCTTTTAATCCATAAGTCTTTTAAAAATAAAATGACAACTGGTTCAACATCTTTGACTAGTACCACTAATGTCTGGGATCCCTAAGGAATTATATCTATGAAATTGTTCTATCTCTTACATGTATGGGTTATATTTTCCAGTTTCTTTTGACTGCTTTTTCTTCAAATGAGAAATGCACATTCCATGTTCAAAGGTAACTTGGGGAATCTAATTTTTCCTCCTCGAGGAGGTTTTGTTTTTTGATTCATTTGAGTGGAAGCAAGAAATTAATCCAAGGCATCATTCTTGTGAGGTGTGCATGCTATCACTGAGACACCCAGCTAGATCAGGAGAGCTTAACTCTTTGTTTGTTTTGCTTTTTGGGTAACACCTGGCGATGCTCAGGAATTACTCCTGGCTCTGCACTCAGGAATCATTCCTGGCAGTGCTGGGGGACCATGTGGGATGCCAGGGATTGAACCCGGGTTGGCCACATGTAAGGCAAATGCCTTACTCACTGTACTATAACTCTGGCCCCGAGAGTTTAACTCTAATTTTTAAATTTTATTTCCATAAAGTTGTTCATGATAATTGATTACATTATTTCAACACCAATCCCACTACCATTACATCGAATTTTCCCACCACCACTCAATCCTGCCCCAAAGGCAAATGCTATATAATTTATTTTGTATTGTTTATTATGAATAGTATGAGATGTCTGTAAGAATCTGTCTCAAAGTGATTCAACAAAAAATTTTTAAAAAAAGTATGAGATGTCTGCTCCTGGAATTGCATGCACCTGGAATTCTAAAGTTTTAAATAATTGGGGTCTGGGGCTATTTCTGCAGCGAGATGCTGGTTCCAATATTTATTTGTGAGTCTCTGGGATCGAGGAGACAGTTTGTGGGTGCGGCAGCCAGGATCCCGAAAGGGCAGGGAGATGGGAAGCAGCTATCCAGTCCCAAGCCCTTGAGGCCTGGCATTTTCAGTCACTGATCCTGCATGCCTGGGTTTCTCAGTAGATTCATTCTCTTGCTTGGGAGGCCCATGATGAGCCTGTGAAGATCGGCCATGAGGGTGGCGGTGACTGGGTTCTGGACGTTTGCGGCTGCTGGGGTTCAGAGAATTTAATTCCTATTATGGTTGGCTAGAGACATCAGTTTTCTAAATTTCCTAGCTTGCTTTTGTGTACCTGCCTTTGTTTATCCTGTTGTCTAGGAGCACTGAAGTTCCTGTTCCATCATCTCACCTGTCAGCCAGTGACCTAACACAGATTTCCTTGAATACCCTGGGCCCAAGTAGGGGTGTAGTAAGATGGGGTAGGACAATGAAAAAGACACAATGGCTAATACAAATCTCGATTTAGGGCCTGAGGATACGGTACAAGTGGCAGCGCACACGTAGCATGCATATATGAGGTCCTAGGTTTGATCCCCGTTACCACATGGCTCTCTGAGCACTGATCACCAAGTGTGATTCTCTAGACAAAGATTCTGATAAATGCCACATGTTAATCACCTGGAGCTGAAAACGAAACAAACAACTCTGGCTATCTTTCAGGGGTCTGCTACACTGCAACTTGAAGCTTTTGCAGGACATGGCCCGCGAAGTTTAGTACACCCCAAATTCAACAAGACACACCCCGAGCCCCAGGGGCAGAGGAACGGGGAATGAGCACTGTTTTAGCTGCCAATTAGCAGCTGCTTCTTTCTTCACCACGGTGTACCCTCCTCATAAGTATACAATCAGGGTTCAGAGTTCTGAAATACGGGCCAGAGAGAGTACAGTGGGTAGAGCACTTCTCCTGACATGTAGCTGACCTGGACTCAATTTCTAGGAAGAGCCAGGGGTAAATTTTGAGCACTGACAGGTGTGGCCCAAAAATCAACCCCCCCCCCCCCCACACAAACAAACAAAGCAAAAACGTTCTGAAATAGCTGATGCCGATCTTTCCTACTCATACCAAATAATTTGGGCGGGGGGGGGGGGGTAAAAAGTTCTTGATACTCTTGTCATTTAAGAAAAACAATATCTGCCCATTTTCTCTAAAAAGTGTGCTTGGGGAGTAGCTTCCAAAAGTTTATTCTCTGCTCAATTTAGATTTGAGAATGGAGAAAAGGTAAACAGGAACACTTGTTTGAACAAACACCAGTTAACACCAGACACTCTAGGTACTTTTTTAATGAACTTTTTTTCTAGGCATGCATATACATATAGGATTTCTTTATCCAAGAGAGTGCGTAATATTGTCTTTGTTTAAAAATAATGTGCATGTTTTCAAGTTAATAAACATACATATCTGGGCCATATTCTACTGGCCAAGTTTCACCCCACAAGGCCTCAGGAGAACGAAGGCAGTGTCCCAACCAACGGGCAGCAGAGTTTTAAAACTCTTTTTTCTCCTGCAATGAACTTCCCTCCCCTTCCCTTCTCTCTGTTGCTGCTGGTGTGAGGCCTGGTGGTTGGACACTTGGCTGTGGAGCTCTTATTCCTGGAGCATGGTGCTAGCCGGTGCTGCAGATTTGGTTGTGGT